TGTGGACTCTAGGACTGGGATGACAATATCAATTTCTCGATTTTAAATCTCAAGATCGATCTTTTAGTCGATGCTGTTTTATGTGGATGCGTAAATAAAAATTCACTAAACATTTGTAGCGTGCCTGCCATCCAATAATCGCAACAAGATTTGTGCTTTGCTACTTTTAATATGAAACAGTTTTACAGATTTTATCACGTAATTCAATTAATAAATGTCATTTGGCACTCTTTAATACGGCGTGACAGATCACTCGCTGTAGCCACATCAGTTCAAGCGGCAGCACGGATCAAGCGCACATGAACCGATCATCTCTTTCTTTACTACTACTTATAGCACTAAATAAACTTCAGAACGGTATGTTGGAAGATTTAGAATGACTTAGTGAAATGTATAATGACTCATGTAGCCTAATCTCTCAGTCAGTGTTTCAAGTGCAGATTTTTTCAGTTTATGTAAAACCCATGAAATTTATTAAAAAGTCTTATATTAATACAGTTATACAAAGCGGATTCGGTTTTGGCCCAGAATTTTCACTTTGGTGCATCACTACTAAATATCTAGACGTATTGTCTGATTCATAAATGAATCTTTCTTTTGAGTCTTTTGGTAAATGAAGTGCTGTTGTAAAGCTTTGTGTCTCTTTCCATTTCATGAAACGTTGGTCCAATTGCCACTGAAGTATGAATTTTTTCCCCCCTTCCTGCTGTTTTTCTTTCTAAACGGGCTATTATCTGCATCATGAATCTATGACTGAATCTATGATTATTTCCTGTGGCATGTTAGCAAGCAAAAGATAATCACTTACCCAATCAAAAATTTGCACTGTAATTAAGCCAAAAATAGAGGTTTATAAGCAATACAGAAAACAAGTGCAGGACACTCCTAAAAACCTTGAGAACACAACACTCTTTAAAGTGGTCTTTGTCATTTACAGGTAGAAATTGTAAAATATAATATCTTACAAGGACTAATTACAATGAGTTAATGTAACATGAGCTTCAGTGCATTTAATAGAAGTCATTTCAACATCCTGGTGGTGCTGTAGAGACCACGTTTATCATAATGCTGAGCGTCATATCAAATACACCAAAGAAGAATGTTAACTCTACATTCTTAATAAAACCACAGCAGAAGTCAAAGATGGCACTAGATGTTTATACAGTATGCACAGCCTGCGCAAAAGACGTAACCATTTTGAATGCATTTATACTAAGAGATAATTGTTTTTATTCAACCCTTCTGCTGCTTTTCAACTGCATCTTTATTTCTCTGAGTTAAGGAACTTGTCAGTCATTTCAAATTGCATCAGGAGATAAAGCTAATGAAAGCAACAGTCTGTTGGGAAAGTGTGTAAGGGGAGGGATGGATGTGATTTTTAAATGAAATCTGTAAATGTATTGTTAGTTCTCTGCATAACTTGTGACTACCATATCATCCTAAAAGTAAAGTTAGGGGATAGTTCACCCACAAATGAAAATTCTCTCATCATTTACTCACCCTCAAGTCGAAGCAACATTGGACCCAATTGACTTTCACTGTAAGGACAAAAAACAGACATTTTTTCCACAGAAGAAAGTCATAGGTTTGGAATCATTGACAGAATTATCTCTTTAATAGATCAGTATCTTGGTGCATTCACTTAGATCTTAACCATTCGCTACCATCCGTTAATAATTTTGAAAGCGGTATCTTGTGTTCTCAAAGGCTGCATTTATCTTATCAAAAATACAGTAAAACAGTAATATTGTGAAATATTTTTAAATGTAAGGCCATGAGGGTGAGTAAATGATGACAGAATTTTCATTTTTGAGTGAACTATACCTTTAATGTTTGTTTGTTTTATTAATATGGAAATATTAAATACTTTTTTAATGAAATGATACTCTAAATTAGAAACTAAAACTGCCAGTAGGTGGCGGTAAATGTTGAACCGAGTAAGTCATTTAATCATTAAGTCATTCATTAAGTCATTCATTCAAACGGCTGATTCATTCAGGAATTAAGTATAATGTCTCTCTTTATGAATGGACCATTGAATCATTGCCTAACCCGATTGATTCAATCAAAACTTGGATTCATTCAGAAATGAAGCACTACTATGTGTTGCTCCGAGATGCACAACAGTTCTGCTCTGGCTTTACAGGTAATACTTTCATTAGCAAAATTGAGCAAAAGCAGACAATATTGTGTCTAAAATATAATATTATTAACTTATTAATTTATTGAACAACTGTATAAAATGAATATCACATTTGCACGCGTGCTATTCGGGACAAAAACAGCACTTGTGTGATATTGCTTAATCATGATATAAATATGAGACAAAAACTCATACAGGGGCACTTTTGCCCTGATATCTTGAAGTTTAGGAGCATCCTATAGGCTAAATTACACAGTGAGTTGTTGCTCTGCTTCATGTTCGTCAACAATCAACTTTATTGCGTTAATATTTCCCCATAATTAATTAAATTAACACGTTAAATCGAAAGCCCTAATTATTATATTATATAAATAGCCTAGATAAGAGTAGTCTCCCTGAAAGAATGTGCATCTCTCAGCTTATTTCATTTCCGAGTTCTGTTTTCCCTGTTCCTGTTTGCCTGTGTGCAGGGGCGTAGCAAGCTTTTTAAAAGTGCGGGGGATGGATGTGATCAGGGCCCTGATTAAGAATTCAGAGGGCACAATGTAATGTTGGCCCCTCCTTAGGCAGGACAAATGTAGTTTGTCCAAGGACATTTAAATTTGGCATTAACATTATGCTGGGGTAAAGTTCATAAATGATCGTTCTTTCTCATTGGATTTTGTAAAACTATGTTGTGTGGACCTCGGCCCCTCTAGGGGGGTTCGGGGGCATGCTCCCCCGAAAGAAAATTGTGTACATTTTAAGGTTAAATGCATCAATCTGGTGCACTCTGAGAGCTCAAAATTAAGAGCTTCAACTGGCTTCGACCCATGAACTGTGCACATTGAACAAAGAAAAAGCATTGACTATACCTAAAGAGGGTTCAAACTTATTTTTAGTTATGATATAGAGTCTCAGTCTACATTACATTATCACTGGTGTTTTAGAATGCCAAACATTTATTATAATAATATAATAATGATTTATATAATTATTCCTATGATGGAAAATCCATATAGCCTAAATGTATGCTACTGTAGAAATGAAAATGAATATTTCAAAGTAAATTTTATATTATGCTATAGAATAGGAAAATTACAATACTTTTGTCCTAATTTCTTCACTTGCAAGAAATAAACCCTTGAGTTTTATTTTGGAGAAAACACCAGATCACCATGCTGAATGATCGCGTGAGCAAAGTGCGCACTTTTCTTTAAATCACGCAGCACAAACAGAATGCCTACTTAAATAAAGTATTGTGCTGTTTAGTCTAAAAAACGAAATATAATACCAAAAACACTCGACATGTCAACAAAACATAAACATAACATCTTCCCAATCCCAAACACATATCAAGCTTATTTAAAAACCTCGCAAGCATAAACACTCATTCAAAGTACTTGGAAAAGGGAGATGTAAATAACCATAACCATAAGTTCCCGCCTCCTCAGCACGAGTGACTGAAAAATCACACCAAGAGAGGCGGGACTTAAGGCAGAACAGCCAATCATCAGCCGGTCACACTCAGAGCCGGTGTCATGTTTGAGAGGGAGGGGGAGAGGAGGACGAGCCGCAGCGAGCGCACACACAGAGCGGCCAGAGAAACGGAGGATCGACTGTAGTGAGGCGTTTGTGCAAAACTGCGGAAAAACTGCAGAAAAAGAGCGGGTGTTGAACCCTCTCACCGGGAAAAGTGTGGGTGTTAAAACACCCACATCCCCCACGGGTGCGACGCCCCTGCCTGTGTGCCCTGTGCCCTTTCGTAGTGTGTGTCAGTTTGTTCCCTTAGTTACTGATTATGTTTACCTGTTGTTCATTTAGTTACCTCATTACATTACCATGTGTATTTAAGCCCTTAGTTTCCTCAGTTCATTGTTCTGTGTCAACTTAAAGGAGAACTCCGGGCAATTTTTAAGTTAATCTTGATCGTTATACCTTTGTGAGTACTGTCTATAAAAAAAAAAGAACCGGATTGGTGCTTGCAACACGGAGCTTCTAAAGCTAATGCCCAGAGCTCCCACTCAGCTAAAACGGCAGTTATGGGGGCATATACATAAAGAGTGCCTTTGTGCCTCTTAACAGACACAAAATGCAAATAAAATGTCTGTCCAACATGAACGGGGCCCTTACATGACAACAAGATGCGTTTAGCAACTTAGCCATTGTTTAAATTCACCCAAATAGTGTTTTAGACGGTTAGCTGTAGTCTCGCGCTGAAGTCCTGTGGGAACTCAGTTGTAGCCGGAAAAAGGTAAATAGCAGGTAAATTGGGAAAAAAAAAGGTAAATTGTATGGTAATAGCAAATACCATATGGTAATGCAAACACATTTGATATAGCCTACCACTGCCAGCTTATGTTGAGGTAAATTCATCTCTCGTCGTCTCTGAGAGAATGCGGCGTTAGTACAGCGACAGATGTCGAAAGCTCTAAGTTTTTGATTTTACTTTCAGGGAATAATTGACTGGTTTGAGACTCCTTTACCAGCGTAACTCTCGTGCAAAGTTTGCAAATTGCATGCGTGATCACCACGGGCTCGCCTTTTGGGTGAAATATTTATGCGATGTGACATTTTTCTTCATCGCCAACTCCATCTTTGCTCGCAAAATGATAGAAAAGATTATCATTCTCCGCGATTTATAAAATGAAGTAAATAAATAAATTACATTATTGATCAAAATAGTAAACTATTATAGACCCTGCCCCGCGTGATACTATAGTCATAGTGTATCGCCGATCTCACAGGCTGACGATATGACTATGGAGCATATTATCACCCAACTCTAATCTGCCTAGGACACTTCCTGTACTGTTTAATAAGCTGACTATCTAAATGTATCCTAACCTGGAGTCTCTTTCTCCCTTTTCTCAATCAGGATTGCTGTGTTATTGTGAGCGATGTGTGAATCGGACATGTAACACAACCGGCCTGTGTTATGCGGTCGTCACAAAGTCTGCCGGACAGATCGTAATACAGGAGGGTCAGTGCATTCAGCAAGATCAACTTTACCCACCGGACAGGCCTTTCCAGTGCGCCTCTTCCAACAACGGCCTGCATCCGTACTGCTGTGACACTCACATGTGCAACAAGAACCCAAAAGTCAGCCCAGGTAAGAGAATAATGTGATCATGATGACTTTTGAGTGGGCTTTCAAGAGTTTGTGACTCTATAACGTCAATATGTCATAAAAGTGTCACAATACCCAAGTTCATATTTGGATTGGGGTTATTTTCTCCGGCACAAAATAATAACTTTTAAATGACTTTCCATGTTGAATTTGCATTGTTTTTTTAGTGCGGCATCCAAATCCTTTGTTCCACATGGCTCTACATCAGCTTAATTAAATCATTTTTTGTTGTGACCTTGAGCTTACAGACGTATGGCCCATTGTGCCAATTATTTCCATGTTGCTGTTTTATATAAATGATGCATAGTGTCCTGAAGTAGTCTGAAAACCTTGAGAGTGCATACTGGCTAATGTCACAGATAGGGACATTTAGTAATGAATATATAGCTCTCGTGCTCTCACTTTACAATGACGCTAGGGACACAAGTGCTTGGCTCTTCAAAGCTGGCTTTGTTGCTTAATTTTTTTTTTCATTAGTTTGAACCATGTTTATATTAAAAGAAATCGTGATGTGAGACTTTGATGTAGCCTACAGTAATGTACCAGAGCTAACGAACTCAGCGAACTCATTTAGGCCTAACTCAGTTATTATCTGTGTTTCTTATTATTTTGCTTTTGCACAGACCTGCTCCTGAGCTCCCTTATTACTCTTAATAGTTTTTGCTGTCTCCATTTTAGATTTTTACCTGGAGCTGCACAGTTGTGAAAAACTTGTGAATTTCCCTTATTGTCATTACAGTTATTAATTCTTAATAGTGGGGATTAACAATATGTCAGCACAATTTAATTGTGGTTAATAATTTAATTTATGGTTATTGGATATTTATTAGTCAATATTTTACATTTTGTTGGGGGAAAAAATAGTACTAAAGCTTGATTTAATGTTTGTTAATATTGTTTTAATGTTACTGAAACTCCTCATGAGCATTTATTATGAGCTCTTATTTTATAGCAGGTTACAAAAGTAATATTTATTATATGTATCTTCTATACTCTACATTTATACATTCACTTAAAGGGCACCTATTATGCAAAATCCACTTTTACATGGTGTTTGGACATAAATGTGTGTTGGCAGTCTGTGAACACAATCACCCTACAATGATAAAAATCCACCCACTCCTTTTTTTAAATCCCCATTAAACCAAAGCAGTCTCATTAGACATGCCTTTTTGATTCTCTGAGCAGTGTGACATCATACTGCACAGGGTGCGCCCATGGCCGCCGACTGACAGTCCTGCATTACCATAGTTTCAACCCTCAGCGAGTGGTACGCTATCCGCCATTTTCTCCGCGCTGGAGCAGCTGTAGCGATCCCGGTGTTCTGTTGTTGGATGTAAGAGTGAACAAGAGTCTTAATTTTCTCCCAAAATCTGAGCCACCGAGGACGCAGTGGATTAGTTTTACTTTTGAAAGTAATGTCCCCAAAATATACCTAAATTTGTTTGTCTGCTCAAATCATCAGGGGCAATACAAGGCAGGCTTTGCTAAAAAGTTGTTACTCAAGGATGGATCAGTACCAACTGTTCGTGATCCAGTTTATAACGTTAGTCTCCGGTGCGATACGGGTCAATACAGTAATGAAAGGTAGAGGGCGCACTTTATTACAGTTAGGAGTTGTTTTACGGATATAACTGTTGTTAACCAGTTTATTAAGCACCCCCTGAAAAGGCACAGGGTAAAGTCTGTTTATATTTGTTTACTGTTAGTTGTAACAAGTGTTTTGTGTAATTCACTGTTTATGTTGATGATAATGAAAGGGAGAGAGAGAGTTTATGGATAAGACTTTAATGCACACATCTTGTACAGTTTTATTCTGCTCTTGGTGATTTTCTGGAGTGAAAACTGATGCTTCATCTTTTGTGTGATGTGCAATAAACTTCATAAAACTCATTAGTAAAGTTTTGGCCATCGTTCAGACGGGGTCTACTCTGCTGCAACAGTCTTGTAGTGAAAAAGCAAGGTGACAACATAAGTTATAACCGTAATTAAACTAAACCATACCTGTTCTATCTCCATGCACAGCATATATTATCTGGCTCTGTAGGCATCATTGTCCTGAACACTGCTAGTACAGTTTCTGACATTTTATTGCGGGAGATTGTCCTATGTTTTTGCTGGAGTGCCGGAGAATGAGCTCTTGAAGCTCCACCCTCTTCTTGAAAGGGGGCCGGCAGCAGCAGCTCATTTGCATTTAAAGGGACACACAAAAACGGCTCGTTTTTGCTCACCCCCAAAAGTGGCGATTTTAACATGCTATAAAAATTAACTGTGGAGTATTTTGAGCTAAAACTCCACATACACATTCTGGGCTCATCGGAGACTTATTTTACATATTGTAAAAAGTAGCATAATAGATTTAAGCATACAACTTTATTTAGTGTAGAGTTTAAATTTTTTCATAGTTTTTTTATTTATTTTTATTTTTCTGATCTTTTTCGATATTTTCTGATCCATGTCGTATCGCAAATGGCGATTATTAAAAAAAAATTATGCTAGTGCATGGCATGCCAGCAGAATTGCCTGAGATCAGTCTTTTAGACCACATATCAAAAAAATTCCCTTGCAATAGAAATGGGCTTGATGAAAATAGTGCAGTTCTCTAAATGTATTTTAGTCACAAATCAATCAAAACAAGCTGTTAGTATAAATTGATTCTGCCACTTTTCCCCACTGGAGCTCAAAATATTCTTAGAAAGGACAAACACAAAGGAAATATCAGGTACCAACAATAATAGCCGTCAACACAGTTTGGATATCACATTCTTTGACCTTTTTAAATGTTATTATTAAAGAGTTTCAATAGTTTGACCAAAATGTCTAGGTGTTTTTTCAGATTAATATGCATACATAGGAGCAGCGACTGACATTAGCGTTAGTGTATGAACTATGAACAACACAGACAGGACAAAACGTGCTAGAAATTGATTGCCGGATAGCCACTCTCTTAAAACTTTTAGTCCTTTAGACTTGTAATTCAAAAGTTATTCTTTCAAAGTCTCACTATCCTATGGTGCATATTGAAAAATGAAGCATTCTCATTTTTTTCTCAATGTCATCCACATTTACCAGAAAATAGTTTCGCCATGATGACCAAGGTATTAGTGTTAGTAGTGTACAACTCTAAAGCCCCCTTTGTCTGAGACAATATTCAAAGGTCTCCCTATCCAAGTTGATATGTACCTTGTAAGTTGATGGTACTTGTGTTGTAATAAAAACAAAAATATGATCTGATGTGTTAAGGTTGTACTGTACATGTTTATTTTTAGTTTTTTTTTTCTGAATTGAATTAATATTATGATATAAATTTAAATTCTTTTTAAGACACATTGGGGGGCCATGGAAGTTTGCTGAGGTCCACATGTGGGCCCCAGTCCCCTGATTGGGAACCACTGATTTACAGCCTAAAGCATGTGTTTTGCTGCTTCCTCATTCAGAGTTGCCTGATACTGAACCCCAGTCTCTGAGTCCTGTAGCCTTGGCCGCAGTGATTGCCGTCCCCATCTGCGTGCTGAGCTTCATGCTGGTGCTTCTCTTCTACATGTGCCATAATCGCTCCATCAACCACCATCGTGTGCCAAGTGAGGAAGACCCCACTATGAACCACCCATTCCTCGCTAACGGCACGACGCTAAAGGACCTCATTTATGACATGACCACTTCTGGATCAGGCTCAGGTATTTTACATACTATTATTATGTCATTATTGTTTGCCTTTCTACTTTCTAAGAATCCAGCTGTACCGTTTTTTTTAATGCCACTTAATATGCAAAGATTCCATTCAAATCATTTTTATGTATTTACAGGATGTTTTTCCTGTATTTCCCTTTATAGGCCCCAAAGTACGCTCAAGCCAATTGTCATTTCCATAACTTTGGTTGCAAAGCCCCTTGGGAGCAATTGAGAATGTGTAAATTGACAGTTTAATGCTTTCCGTGAGTTATGAGCCTCACGCCAAGCTGGTAGGCTTGTAGGCTTTATCTTTAGTCTAGGATTTTAGTCCAGAAGCTGGACTAGACTAGCTAGTTTTGTTGCCAGTGTCTCAGATAGAATATTTGTTTTTGGCTCCTGGATGACTATACACAATGTTTGAAATGAAATCATGACAGTCTTCCTCAAGGGTTCAAGGTTTGACTGGTTTGCATGGCTCTATTATCACCTGCTGGCAGATGCCGTAACTACACTGTTCTGAGGGCAAAGATCATCTTTCTCCATTGAGATTAGACGTTGTTGTGTATTCTGACTAAATATATATTTTTTAATAATTTGTTAGCTTGTATTTGACTACTTTGATATTATTCCCTGACTGCTTTTTCTTGTCTTCTATAGGTTTACCACTGCTAGTGCAAAGGACCATCGCCAGAACCATCATTCTCCAGGAGAGCATAGGGAAGGGTCGATTTGGAGAGGTGTGGAGGGGCCGCTGGCGTGGAGAAGAGGTGGCAGTAAAGATCTTCTCCTCCAGAGAGGAGCGCTCTTGGTTCCGTGAGGCGGAGATTTACCAGACTGTCATGCTTCGTCATGAGAACATCCTGGGCTTTATTGCTGCAGACAACAAAGGTTAGACAACACTGAAAGCACTTCAGTTGCATTAGGTTGTATTGTACTGTACATTATTTGCTCTCTACCATAAGTGTGTTTAGGAAGGTAGTACTTCACATTTCTGTTTGTGGTGTTATTGGTCAATTCTAATAGGGATGTTCCGATCACGCGATCGGAAATCGGGCCCGATCACGTGGTTTCAGACTCGATCGGAATCGGACGTTACCTCCCGATTAGGACTCGGATATATGTAAATTAAGTCTGTAACTTTACATGTATTCGTAATAATTGAACTGTTTCGGTACAAGGCTTCCGGTTCGGTACGCATACAAACCGAACGATTCCTAGGACCATTTTTCTTGCAGACAAAATCCGCGCTGGCGCGGTCACCACAACGTTGCGCAACATCAAATGGCAAACGTAATGAAAGCGGAACGAAACTGCGCTACTCATTATATTGTGCTTAACGGACCATTTCAGTTCGGACCAGAACATCTGTGCAGCGCGAGATCAAGCGACACTTGGCTAAGAGATCCAGTGAAGAAAACATTTGAATTCGCCACTGAACTAATTACATCGCTGCGAGATCTAGTGAGAAGCATTAAAATTTCTCCGTTATTAACCGTAGATCTCTATTAAATCAAACAGCGCTGACGTGGAAACCAGGAGAAACATTGTGCCGTGAATAAACATGGATTTAATGTTGCACTTCAAAACTCAAATATTATATAAATATATATTTAAATGTTATTTTTCATTTGATTACCAAAACATTATTTGTTCATCCTTCAAAGATTACCCCCATTTATAAACCTGAAAGTTTCAAGATGTAGGAAAACTCAAACTTATTTAAAAATAGTTTTTCTTTTAATAAATAGGAAATTTCTCTGGCATTTCTTTCTTTTTGCTGTATCGTATCGAACTGCAAATTTTGTGAACTGTTACACCCCTAATGTATATATATATATTCTCATTATTTTTTTATACACTTTTAAAACATTTTTATTTTTTGTTTACATGCCTGCCGGGTATTTTAAGTTGAGGTGCTATTTGTTTTTATATTAGACTTTTTTCTATATTTACTGTTGCACTAAAGTCCAAAAGTGAAGATTTTGTTATTTATTACTTGATTGTTCAAGCTACCTCACAGAAGTGCTCTGTTGTTGAACGTTAAAATAAGGTGAATTAAATAAAAAAATAAGGAACATCCTGGATCTGTTTTTTCTCTCTTCTTTATTCTTTTTTTTATGTATTATATAAGTATCGGATCGGGACTCGGTATCGGTAGATACTCAAAATCAAATGACTCGGACTCGAGGGCAAAAAAACCTGATCGGGACATCCCTAAATTCTATTATATTTACAGTGTTTTACAGTCAGGGATCTCAAAGGATATCAGGGAATTTTGAAAATTTTGATATCCAGGCCCGAAAAGTCGTGCAAGGAAATATATTGGAATCCCAAAAAATCATGGGAAAATATCTGTACCAAATAGAAGTGTTTTTTTCCCTATTATTATTGTTATTATTTTAGGTTATTTTTTTAAGGAATGTTCTAGGTCTGCTCTGCTTGAAAATATTTTATCAACTAGGTATTACTCTGTGAATTTCTATGTAGAGTAAAACTTCATATGGAAACCAGCTTGTCCCGTAGATGGTCTGCTTGCTCGCTTTAACCCCGCGCACGAGCAGATCCGTTTGCTCTCTGGTGAAGCGTTCAGTTTTTCCGCTTCCGCTTGCAAATTCCGCCATGTAAATAGCAATCTGCCATTGCATGAGCGCAACTGGCTTTTAAAGGGAATGGGAGATGAGACTCTGACTGGTTATTTCCACGTTACGCCCAAAACACACCCATTACTCATTAAAGTCCCTGTAAAGTCAAAATTTTGTATGTGTTCTGAGTTTGTCACACCACAGAAAAATGTGTTATTAGCCACCCTGCCAAATTTGAATGATAAAAAAAGCCAGCAAGTACATAAAATAAGCTATCAAAATCTTGAAAAAATGAGCAGTAGTCTCTGCTCTCAAACGCTGGGGGCGTGTCCGCTGGCTGCGCTGAAACCACGCCCACTCGCGGGAAAGCTGCCGTCGCCACACTCAACTCTACAGCCGGAATAGATGCTCGCACGGTGGGCAGTGGGCACGCACTGCCGATGATGGCACCAGTTGTCGGCGCGACGGGAGGATGAATGCCGAGGCGGAAGATAGTCGGTTTGGCCCCATTCACCAGTTACAACGGATTATCAGTGAATGTCTCAGTTGTCTCCGACGAAAGTTTATAAAACTATCCGGTGTAAAATGATCACTTACAGAGGCGGGTTTTGGCAGTGATCCTCAGCTCTCCATCAAGGTTGGCTCTTCACAAAATGAATCCACTTCTTCTTGATGTAATCGTTTTTCGGAAATTTAAATAAGGGCACCGATCTGTTTTGTATGTGATCCGGTGATCGCATCCAGGTAGTAGGCCTACGCTTTTCTGTGACGAAGGCATAGCTAGCTAGCAATCTGTAGGCTGCTGTAGTAACTAATAGTACTGACCGTAACTCAGATTGAGTGGCAAAACAGATGTGAATGTGCTCTATATTGTTAGGGGAGCGGACAGCCTCAGTGGCTCCAGTGCGTCATCAAGTAGGGGTGTGTCCAGGAGCTCAGGGGCTCCAGTGCGTCATCGAGCCCCGTTTTAGCCCCGCCCAAAAAATCCGTAAAATATCAATGGTGAAAAACTGTTTAACGGTCTAGCTCCACAATTCAGTACTTCACAGTTCACAGTCTTTGTAATATGTTTTAGCAATACATTTCTAACATTTATAATGTGTTTAGAATTTTTTTTTTTTAAATTGCCTTTACAGGGACTTTAATAGAATAGGGACAACCCTTTTAGACCATGCGCTGGGCGCGCCGACCATTTTTTCTGTCATTAAACTAGCAAAAGTGGATTCGGACATGCACTTAGTGCACTTGCACCGTGACCTTTAGACCATGCGCTTAGATCGTTAAAATAGGGCCCCAAATATTTAAAATATAATTTTTGTTGTTTCAACATTAAATTGGAGATTCAATTTGAAATTATTACAAATACAATATAAAAAATATTAGGGCTGTCAGTTAAACGCGTTATTAACGGCGTTAACGCGAACCCATTTTAACGGTGTCATTTTTTTATCGCACGATTAACGGTCTTTTTGGCCTGGCAAACTTTGTAGTTTTTTCCACATGCTTTTGCAACAGGACGCGGCATGCGCGGCGTTGCGCTATGAAACCCATTCATTTCAATGGCTTGTGCCGCGCGAGGGCGTTTTGTTGCTTCGTCGACCAAAGCGCAAGCGGATCTAGCTAGACCGGAAACACAACAACAGGCACGCCGCACACACTTGTTTGGGCTTGCGAGCCGGCCAAAGAGTTGGTTAACGTTACGTTTTGAGTGGATGACGAGCGCGAGACGCCGAAATGGATGCTAATAAGATTCTGAATGGAAAGTTTACTTTTAAAAAGTTGCCAAATGGTTCTTTTGACAAGACCAAAGTGATCTGTGTGTTTTGTCGTTGTGAACTGAGCTATCATCATCGCAGCACGTCCAGTCTGAAATACCACTTGATGATGGCCAAGCACACACACAGCTGATGCGAATTCTCCGCCCCCTCGTCAATATCAGGACCTCGTCAGTATTTCTTTCACCCTTTTGTTGATGGACAGTGTTACATTGTGTGAGAGATTATTTGCTCCAAGTGAGAATGTTAGTGTGAAACTGAACACAGTATATGCCAATGTTGTTTTCAATAAAAAATATTTGCACAAAGCAAGCCGATACACTTTTCCATGTTGATAAGAGCATTAAAATGAGAAAAAAATAATGGGACAAAAAGAAATCAAGAGGCATTTAGAATAGATAAAAATATGCGATTAATCGCGAGTTAACTATGACATTTATGCGATTAATCGCGATTTAAATATTTTAATCGTTTGACAGCACTAAAAAATATATTAAAAACTTTAATGTTAGGTGCGATTTGTTCATTTTATTTAATCGATTGACCGCAGTCACCGCACTAATTATATAATTTACATGTATCAGACATCAGCTGCTCTACCATGTAGATTTTGCCATTGGATTAGTCCATGAAAAATATGCAGTAATGATCTCAAACCACTCAACCAACATTCAGCTAAAGTTATGAAGTGTTTTAAGCTGCCAGATATTGATGTATTTAGAAGTTTAAAGCATTGAGGGGTTCTGCTCTTTCTATTCATCTCAGATAACGGCACGTGGACTCAGCTGTGGCTGGTTTCTGATTACCATGAGCACGGCTCCTTGTTTGACTACCTGAACAGGTACACGGTCACAGTGGAGGGCATGATCAAGCTGTCTCTCTCCGCTGCCAGCGGTCTCGCTCATCTGCATATGGAGATTGTGGGCACTCAGGGTGAGTCACAATACAGAAGTCACTTTTCTTTTATCCTTTCTGAAGCACAGCCATTTTTACATGAACATGCAAACATTTTCATATAAATATGCTGCTTTAGGCCGTCCACTTTGTTTCCTCGAATCAAATTTGTGATATTTTATATTCAGTAGTATAGTGTGACACCACAGGAACAGAAACAAAGTGTATGACTGAGGGTGTGTTCACACTTGTAGTTCAGTTCTTTTGGTCTGGACCAAAAAAGAAATTGATACATTTAGTCCTGGTTCGCTTAGCGTTCACACTGCCATTTTTATTACCAAACCAAACGTTTTTTACGTGTATGTTAGGGTCCGTGAACAGTGCGCGTGATGCAAATTTCGTCGCCAGAATAGTACGCGGGCTGGCTGATTTTTGTAACCATGCATACTTTGTATGCGCAGATCGATTACACATGTGCATTGAATTTGTTTAGCACTAATCAGTTGTTCCACTAGGTGGCAACACTGACCCGGGCCATTGTTTCACAGTAGAAAACAAAACTAAAGAGACGTAACAACAACAACAAAATACCAGAGACTGCAACAGCAATAGATGTCCACATTGACAAGCACTTGTGTGAGTAGGTTTAACAGAATACAAAGACATTTCTTTCGGTCGTAACTTCTGGAGAAAAATAGTGCAGACACTGGACAAAGATGAAAGTTTCAAGAGCGCACGTGTTGACCACCTGCGTTCATGCACGCTATCAAATGGAGTTCACTTTGAAAAGCTACATGTATGCATACTGTACACATAAAAACGAAGTATACTTTGGGCTTAACAAAGTGGTCGCACCAGAGTTTTAATCGAACCAAACCTGCAAAGTGTGAACACACCCTAAATGTCCTGCCGTTTAAGAAAAAGACTTAATTAAATGGAAGAGATATGATGAAGTGTTAGACATTTTCCTTTATTAATCAGAGAAGTACTGATTTGAAGCATGTTTCATGCTGTACTGTGTCTTGTCCAATCCTCAGGTAAGCCTGCCATTGCCCATCGTGATCTGAAATCTAAAAACATCTTAGTGAAGAAGAATGGTACCTGCTGCATCGCTGACCTTGGATTGGCTGTGCGCCACGACTCAGCCACAGACACCATTGACATTGCACCCAACCACAGAGTGGGCACTAAAAGGTCAGTAATTCATCACTCTGAGTCTGCACGATTCACAGCGACGTATGTCTAGATCCACAGTGTTTGCATGAGCTGAGGGCTTTGTGTGCCTGTGAATATTATTGTTGTGAAACAGTCAATAATTCAAGCTTATGCAAGAGTGAAATGTGAGTGGTTTCTTAAGATGGCATCATGGGGGTGATTCAAAATAATTCCTTCATTAATATTTAATATAATAAAGTTCTGTGAAACGAATTATTAATCAAAAATGATTCACACCTTTACAAAATCCAAACATTCAATGTAAGAGTAAAAAAAATTACATAACATTATATTTATAATTTTATTTGATTCACAGCTTATATAGTGTATTTTACCGCAAACTTGCGACAAGTTAACTTTCTAAAGAAGGCACAATCGCTTGTTTGCTAAGGGATCAAAATTCTTGTTTTTCTTGGGTCAAAATTGGTCTTCGGTGGTGGCCGACGGACACCGTCAACCTTTCTTGCCCTCTTTTTTTTTTTCTTTAAAGCTGTGATTTTACCACTGGATTTCATAGCTTTGTAAGATAAAATCCTTCTTTGCTAGGCCTAATAATTATTTTGGTATATAATCATATCAATTTCAAAAAGTAGAATAAAAAAGTAGCATTAAAAAGTTTATTTTAACTAAGTCTAATTTTCTACCATATACAATTGAATACAATTAGCAGTTAGGTAACAACAACTTGCTTTGCACTTTTTTATTTTTTTCTGGTTTCGCCTCACTCCAGTCTGAACTAAAATATTTTTTTTTTTGGTAATTGTTCTACACATTGTCATATAAATAACCTGAAAATACTGTAGTTTATTAAGGTTAAACCTTGCTAACCACTCTTACTAAAACAAAAAATGGGGTAAGCATACTTACATTCTCATTTTAAGAGGTGTTCTGAGTAATTGTGGTTTGATTTGTTTACATTAGTTAATGTATTAAGCTAACTAACATAAACCATGAACAATACATTTGTTACAGTATTTATTCATCTTTGTTAATCTTAGTTAATAAAAAAAGAGCTGCAGAAGTGCAGTTTATTAATAGTTAATGTTAACTAATGTAGTTAAGTAGAGTTTAATAAATGGAACCTTATTGTAAAGTGTTACTGATTTGTTATACACAGATGTAGACGTCTCGTGAGTTCAGTGTTGGACAGATCAGTTGTTTTAAACATTCATTAAATTGAATCGGTTCAAGGAGTCATTAGTTCGCGAATCGGACGTGTCATTAGCGGACCAAGGCACGTGTTGTGTGATTATCCCGGCAGTTTAGGACATCGCACAAGATTTGTGTAAACACAGAAAACATTTAATCACTGGATAGGTTTTGTTGTTTTTTTTTCAGCTGAATGTGCGGAACGCTTTTCAGAGAAGATAAGGCAACGTTTTTTTTTAGCACAATTCACACCTAGCGTTAATTCAGGGGGGAAAATGCTCCACGTGAACTTCGGTTTTACGATATTTTACCATCGTGTCAATTCTCAATTGATTTTGATTAATCTGCACGAGGGAGCTAGCCTGGGAAAACCCATACAACTTCCAGCAAATTTAGATTTGATCTGAAAGTTAGTCTGGCAAAGAGCTCATTCAAGCCCATTTCCAATCCATTGAAATCGCGGCACCAATCAGAAACGTTGGGGCGGGCTTTACACGATGACGACAGCGCTGGGATTTTGAAGCAGATTTTAGCCTATGTTACAAAGATGGATGCGGCATCCGTCGAACATCACTCGTTCGAATCAGCTATCGCGTCTGTTTTAAGCGATTTAAACGTTTCCTTTTTGTTAAAAATCGAGCAAAGAACAACACTCGAAGATGTTTCTCCGCCGCTCTGCATACGTCATCTCCTTCATCGCTCTGATTGGTTTTAGGTCTTTCCGCGACGTCCGTTGGTGACGCCCCTCTGGAAATGATTTGTCTATGACGCTTTGCCAGACAATAACTCAGGTACAACTGAGAATGGTCTGGTTTTAACCAGGCTACTAGGGAGCGAGAGAGAGCAAGACAGTTTGAAGACGGTGAGAGTGCGCACATGCGGCCAGGGCTCTCTCTCTGCTCGTTCTTTCAGTAACATGTGCCCTGTCACAAGCGCAGCAATCATCTACATCACTCACCGATCAAATGAGGCTTTAGCTGGGCAAAAATTAGCTTTGGCGGCCGAGAGAGACGGAGGGAGAGCAGGGAAAGGAAAATGCAGCTTAACAAAAACAGTGTAAAAAAAAATAAAAGAATAACGAAACGCATTATGTTGCGGCCGGTGTTGATTCTGTGGCTCACCGCCACAAATTAGTCTATGTGTGGGAAACACTGCAACAATAGCAAACCACAACCATCCAACAAACCAATAAATTCCAGATGGACAAAATCAAGTTCCAACCTTCATTTTTTCTTGTTCGAGAAACCAAGTTCTGTCATGAAACTCTAGATGCCGCAGGCTAATAGGTCCTTTAACTCACCTGTTCATAATCACATCGTTATCTATAGGGCGCAGCTGATTGGCTCCTGCCGTAACAGTAGCCAATGAGCTCGCTGCTCAACCTTCAAATACTTGGGTAGCATTTGCCTTAGCAGTGCTGCACACTTTCAGAAACCCTCCCCCTTCCTCAGCTCCAACTGTATAGATCTGCTACTGGTAATTCATGTACGCTATAATGTACAGCAGCAGCATGTCTTTCTTGCTCACAACAGCGTGTTGTGTATGTATTGGCAGTAGCAAGTCCTGTACTTGCTCTGCAGCTGCAGCAATAACCTACAGCAGCAGAGTAGCAGATCTATTTCGCCAAGACCAAACATACAACATTGCCATACCCATTACCATGCCAATCACTCCGAGAATTGTCATGACAGAACTCTTGCCACAGTAGGGAAGAAACAACTAATGCAACTTACATTTCATGCCATCTTTAAACATTTCTTAAAAATGTTATTGAATTTTTTTAATACCATATGAAACCTTACTTCTAACCATATTTCTAAGAATTCAGTATTGTTCTAAATACAAATTTAAAAAATATATATATTTTCCTTCATTAAAAGGACTCTTTTTTGTTGTTGTTGACCCATCATTACTCTATGCTAAACTGTTATGCAGGCTTCTTTTGACATACTCTGTTGGGAGTGGGACCTCACTCCTCGAGCACCCTCACAGTTCTGAAGTCTTGAGATGAGTCAGAGGACACTCAGAGGGTGAGATCTGTGTTGTGAAGGACAATGCTGCAGGGACGCCACTCGCCCTGTTGTCATCACAGGAGTGCGTCACATTAATATACAGCGAGAGGCTCTCAGCGGTGCGCCCATTCGCTTCTGTGCCCCCTGGACACCATTTGCACACACACTTCCCTAGACTACTCTCGGGTGTAACAGGCAGTGACACCCACACCAGAGTTTCCGCTAGAAAAAAATGGTGCCGGTCAAAGTGACCGGCAGAGGTTTCGTTTAACGGACATTTTGATGATATGCCGGTCAAATATCGCCTCTTAATTAGTCAAGTTGAGGAAAACTGGAGGCAGGCCATATAACTTAAAAAATGACATAATCAGGCCGTATCGAATGCAACATGTTATTATTAGCCTAACTTTCAAATAGACGGAAAAAAACATGAAAGTCCGATTGGCGTCAATCAACACCAATTGTTTTTTTACTATGGTTTCACACACATTCACTTTTTGAAACATTGAGGCACGGATGTACCTAATACAAATAAATAAAACATATCCAGTTAACTAGCAGATCATTCATTTAGTTCGCTATTAAATAAGAGATCTAGCGCTAAAATCAGTTGTTTTTTAAATCAAGCTGAGCGCTCGTGTCCGCTGCTATCAGTTGCACGGACGACGCGCTGCGCGAGTTGCGCAATCTTCACTCGGACGCGCGTTTCAATCTATCGCCGTTGCGGAGACTCTACACAGGCAAAGCACTGCTACTTGGGCGCAGAGATATCACGCAACACCTGAAATAAAGCTTGCCACAAAGAACCGGCGAAAGTAATGATTATGCATTAGACATTTTTGTTGATAAATTGATAAAGTTGACGATGCAGACTCGCCATCTTCGCAGTAGTGAACGCGCCTAGAGAGAGAAATGCACACTTCAAATGAATAAATTCTTATTTATTAATCCAGGCAAATTTGTTGATGAAACATTGATTAAAATGAAGATACAATTTATACAAAACGAAATAAACTTTAAAGAAAGGCTTTCTACAAAACAAAACTAAATAAGTGGTCAAAATCATGTCTGACCAATTCCAAATGTTTTCCGATATATAGGCCTATTGGTGATCTTATAATCCTATCTTACTCATCTCATGCGGCTCCCTTTTCATATAGCCTAATCAACATAGATGAAATAAAAAAATAATAACATTAGGCTATATTATTTATAAATATGAAACGTATATTTAAGTGTTTTAACTTATAATAAGCGTCACACCGCTCCGCTTTGCTCTGGTGTGTAGTCTAATGCATGTGTGCGTGCATGTGGTGGAGGGGTGCGATTTTCGAATAATAATCAACCCAGCGATCTTCGAATATTATTTTTGCTTGAAAATTTCGTTTTGTATAAATTGTATATTAATTTTAATCAATGTTTCATCAACAAATTTGCCTGGATTAATAAATAAGAAGGAATAGTGGACAATATATGCTAATCAGGACACGGAGGCGTCGGCGCGTGCACACTTCTCTCTATAGGCGCGTTCACTACTGCGAAGATGGCGAGTCTGCATCGTCAACTTTATCAATTTATCAACTTTATCAATAATATCAATGGGCCTGGCCACATTTGAAACGTCTCACTCAATCGTTTGTTGTTTAGGTCTATATTACAGCCGTTCTAGGCGTGCGCTTTTTTTGAAATGCAGCATGCGATGTTGTTTAATAACTTTCAAACGGTAGAGCCTGTTCCTTTATAACATAGCCAAAGGTCGGTGTATTTTTGCTTTATACATTTTAGGCTTATTCTCAAATTCATATTGTGTTAGGGGGGCAGGATTATTACGCAATTTTAATCGGACAATTTGACCGGAGAGATTTAATTTTGTCGGACATTTCATTTTTTTCCCGGCCAATGTCCGGTAATTACCGGACAACGGAAACCCTGACCCACACACTGACACTCAAGTATTCCAGTATACAGTACAGCGTCTCCTGCTGTGACCATAACTGAATGTGACTTTTGAATGTCAAAGTGCTTCCTCACAGCCTTCTATCCCCCTTGCGTTCATTTGAGTGATGTTGTCTCGCTTGGTCTTCTCTGTTTCTGAAGGAAAACCATGTTTTAGGCCACTATGCAACCCACAAGACAGCTGCACCTTTAAAGCTCCATCTTTAACACATGACAGAGCAATCCTACCTCAGCAACTGTTGCTGTCTGCCATATTATCGGAAGTAGGGTTTTATATTGAATTTTGCATAAATTACTAAAAAATAGTCACATTTTTGCGTACCAAAATTGTTCAATTTGCTGCGGATTTTCTCAAAAAATGGTGATATTTGCAGCATTGATTATTGGTGGGTTTTGACTGAAAATCAACATTGTTGATATTTAGGGCCCAAGCACCGATGGTGTGATCACGCTCTTGGAATAATATTAATATACATATGATATTATTATAATTTTACCGCCCCTTACTCTGCACGTTTCCATCCACGGCAGCGCCATTTGGTTTACAACAGTGTAGGGGTGTCCCCGACTAAGGATTTTCAGTCGAATCAGAATCGTCAAGTCTTGCCTATAGTCGACTAATAGTCTAATCATGTGTGTGTGGGGGGAGGGGTGGGACTTTAACATTTTAAAGCATGCGATGTACATAACATCACACAAAGATACAGAAGAAAATGTATAAAAACATTTCGGATCAATTAAACTATGAAATAACATAAATAACTGCAGAAAGGCCACACTGCAGACAGGATTTGCATTTCACATGCAAATCAATTAAATCGGCTAAATTGCCTGTGCGAGCAGGCTCTAAGTACAGCGCAGTATCGATGTACAGAAAAAATAAACAATTAATTTACAGAATTAAATTAGAACAGAATATACCTTTCTAATAAATAAAAATACAAAACGAAATAAGTCAGGATCAAGTCACAAGATACAGAACAAATGTGTGCAAAATGCCTAAAGTGCAGGGGAACATATATTCAAAACACAAGCCACAAATAGTTAAATTAGATAACCCTGAGTGATCAATAAATAAAATTAAAATAACGAAAATATAGCCAGAATTGTCAACTTTTGTCTTTTTAACTGCAGAGACAACAATAAACGCTGAACTGGAGTGGCAGTCCTTTTAGCTAAACATGTTCACAGCATCCAAAAATCTAATTAGAACCGGGTGAAATGTTTTGAAATCACTTGTACCCTACCTGACCGAGAAACAAAATCCAGTCTTTCACTCTGTCTGTGTCCGTTTGAGTCTTTTCAAATTGTGTGCGTGGATAAAATACATTCTAAAACGCTTAACGTGAAAAACGTTTAACGGCTTAATGTCCTAAGACAGTTATATTTAAAGATCAAATTCTGTACACACCTTATTAATAAAGCATACTATATAGCCTACAGAAAAGCAGATGAGCTCAGAATATGAACACAACACATTTAATTACACGTTAAAGGAGTAGTTCACTTTTGAAAAAACTTTTGCTGATAATTTACTCACCCCCATGTCATCCAAGATGCCTATGTCTTTCTTTCCTCAGTCGAAAAGAAATTACGGTTTTTGATGAAAACATTCCAGGATTTTTCTCCATATAATGGACTTAAATGGGAACCATACGGTCCAAGGTCCAAAATACAGTTAATAACAGTTTCAGATGCAGCTTAAAATGTCTTTAAACGACACCAGGCGATGAATAAGGGTCTTATCGTGCGAAACGATCGCTCATTTAAAAAATAAGTAACAACGTTTAAGTTTTATAAGCTCACATGCTCGCCTTTCTCTGTTCTGTGTGACTCTCCTGTTCGAACTCGTTCATCAAAATGAAAAAATCTTTTTCCGAGTCAATGCGTTCATTTCGGTCGTTAAATGAATCAAATGACTCGAAAAAAGATTTGTTCATTTTGATGAACGAGTTCGAACAGGAGAGTCACACAGAACAGAGAAAGGCGAGCATGTGAGCTTATAAAACTTAAACGTTGTTATTTATTTTTTAAATGAGCGATCGTTTCGCACGATAAGACCCTTATTCATCGTCTGGTGTCGTTTAAAGACATTTTAAGCTGCATCTGAAACTGTTATTAACTGTATTTTGGACCTTGGACCGTATGGTTCCCATTTAAGTCCATTATATGGAGAAAAATCCTGGAATGTTTTCATCAAAAACCGTAATTTCTTTTCGACTGAGGAAAGAAAGACATAGGCATCTTGGATGACATGGGGGTGAGTAAATTATCAGCAAAAGTTTTTTCAAAAGTGAACTAATCCTTTAAGCATTTTCCTCCCATAGAAAACCAACTTGTTAACGTTGGCCGGCAGAAGTGCGATCATGGTTTCCTGATGCTAAATCCAGCCTTGGAGAATATCCTTTCTGATGGTGTGCATCCACACATTATATTTTCTTATCCCAGACATTTTTAAAGATTTAAATCCCTGCCGCCAAGATGCTGCTCTGTCGGTCACGGATCGAAAGTGAAACTTAAATCTGTCACAGGGGTGGTTGGATTAATTCACTCACGCTAAAGATATTTATTAAAAGCTTCTTTCTTTGGACATTTTTATTTACAGCATTATCATAATAGGCTGTATGTTAACGTATTGACAGAAAACCGGTAGTTCTATGTGAAATCAGACATTGAGCACACTCGTATAGCCAAAGTGGCATGATCCTCGTTTCATAACACCTCTGAGAAGATTCGACCGTGAGATTGGTAGTCGAATCTGGCTCCTCCTATCGAATCTTCAACTATTCGGGGTCACCCCTACAGCAGTGTAACCGTTATAACGCAATGGCAAAAGTTCAAGCAAAGCATGCAAACTGTGCTGTCGTTGGCTGCACAGACGAGCACAGAAGACGATTTAGAGTCCCAGCCTCAGATGAGACGAGAGCTGTGGATTAATTTTATTTTCAACAGAAATCCCACAGAAACAGATGGATCAATGTAACTCCACGACAACTACATAAATGTATCCACTAACCATTCAGAAACGTCCAGGTGCAGTCTAAAGGCTGATTTATACTTCTGCGTCGGACCTATGCCGGAGCCTCTACGCTATAAACCACGCATTGGTTTTCATTTATACTTCTGCGTCGTTGTCTGCCTTGACGCGCAATTACGCATGCAGAGGGAGCATGCGACACCCGGGGAGCGGTTCTAGCGGACCAATCACAGTGCTTGCGGTACGGGTAGAATTGACGCGTTGTTACATTTTTGGAGAGGTGCACATCCGGGTACGGCGAAGGGTACACGCGCTACACATAGCCTATGACGTAGCTACGGCGGGAGGTCGACGCAGAAGTATAAATTGGGCTTTAAAGTGGCAACCTCTTCCTGAGTCTCTGTAAGGCTGCACTCCGCGACTGAGATTTTGGATGAGTGAGATTATTCGCGTGTTTTGTTATTGTATCCGAAGCTCATGTAAAGGATCGGCCGTCTTCTGAACGAGCGGGGAGCAGCAGCTCATTTCCATGTAAATGGACACACACAAAAATGGCCTGTATTTTGTATTGTACAGTATTTTGAGCTGAAGTTTCACTGACACATTCTGGGGTCACCATAGATTTATATTACATCTTGTGAAAAGGGGCATAATATGTCACCTTTAATATAATTAATATTAGTGACAGTAAGAGTAGTTACCTGTAAATATTTTGTTTAATTTCTGAAATCAACAGTGGTCCTAGAAAATATTAACACCAATAACCCCACATTATATTCAGTATTTTATATATATATATATATATATATATATATATATTAGTAGTAGTTTAATAATATCGTTAAACCTGTAGCCTATAAATCATCTCAAATGCTTAACACGAAAGGATCATTTGCGCAATCAGAATTATATATTTTGCTTTTCTCCATCGGGTTAATATTTTTTGCGGAACATTTGCATAAGAAATTCAAGCTGCTGCAAATAATGAAGAAATTGTTTGAATTTGCATTAATTCTTGTGAAAATCCTGGAGGGACTGATGTATAGCACCATAAGTGCCTATATTTGCTCAAAGCTTAACTACTGTTAATAATCTATTGTTAATTAACTTGCATATTTGGATAAGTTGGGAACATTTCTGCTCACACTAATAATATTCTCTCGTAATTGCTTTCAAATAGTGTCTATTCATTTAACTGATTTCCTTGATTCTGATTCCCAGTTTCCACAGCTTTTAATCCTGTTGAATCCTGTAATTTAACAATTTCTTAAAGAAAAACAGCAGATAAAAATACTTGGTGGCAGTGGCACGCTTCATTCCAGACCATGCAAGAATAATTGCGAAAAACTTTGGCTACTTCATCAGCACATTTTACTGTAAATCTTGCTCTTGAAAAGTCCCATTCATTCCTGTGGAATGTTCTTTTACTGCTGTGAAAAGGAAAATTCAATTACATCCAGCTTGTCAAAATGAACAACCATAACCAAGGAGGATGAAATGAATGTTTAGATGTGGACAGATGTGTAAGGTTGTGTGAATAATGTTACGCTGAGGGACGTCTGTTGACATATATCATGTTCACAGGTATATGGCCCCTGAGGTGCTGGATGACTCCATTAACATGAAGCACTTTGAGTCTTTTAAAAGGGCAGACATCTATGCCTTGGGTCTGGTGTTCTGGGAGATTGCTCGCAGGTGTTCAATTGGAGGTAGGACACTGTGATGATATTTATTTTCTGTCCTTCCGTTGTATGATAATTAATAGCATTGTTATGGGTAACATTTACATATACAGTATATCTATATGTATGTGTGTGTGTATATATATATATATATATACGAATTCTGAGTTCAAAGGAGTTAACATTTGTTTTTAACTTTTTTGGTGGTATGGGAAGGTTTAAGGGTGGGTTAAGGTGTAAGGGAAGGGGCAACAGTGTAATTATAGATGCAATTACAGAAATGAATTACAGCTGTAATTACATGCAGGTGTTTTTTAAAATATAAGTACAATGTAAAAACACGAATGTATATTGCAAAAATACAACTTGTTTAGTGAATTATGGTGGGGCCTGAAGTCTGAGACCACTATTTAAAATTATTATTTTTATTTAAAAACAGCACATTGGGAATTATGTTATCTGATTATATTATAATTAATACATATGTCCCACTTTATATTAGGTGTCCTTAACCCTCTGGGGTCTAAGGGGTTTTTGGGGTCCTTGAGATATTTTGACATGCCCTGACATTTGTACTTTTTTCAGTTGCTAATAAACATATTAATGGCAAAGGTGTAATTACACTCCATTTAGCACAAACAGGGCTACCATAATATATGAGCAACATGTGTGTATCTTTGAGAGAAAAATGTTTATGCATGGTTATTGAAAAAAATAAAGTTTCTGAAACAAGGCCACAAAACACATACTAAATATGTGTCAAATACTTTTGACTAATGGATGTTGTCTCCTAGAGTGTTTGCTTAAAAATAATCTGGAAATCATTTTGCCTAATCATTCACATAAAACAATACATTGATTTAAATTCTGTAAAATACTTTTTGTTTGGAAGGCAATATGCGTGGGGGCGTGATTCACACCTGAGAAGACAATGACCTGCATAATTAGCCACATAATGAGATGCATAATGAGTCTTTCATTCAGGTGTCACACAAGAAAGAATGCAAGGACTATATATATATATATATATATATATATATATATATATATATATATATATATATATATATATATATATATATATATATATATATATGTATACATATAATATTATATAAATTGTAATTGTTGTTGAATTACATGTGAACACTTTTTTAATAAAATAGCAAAAAATATATTTACAAGGTAGATATACCCAATATAAGCCTATTTTCTTTTTTAAAGACTACATTTTATCATACATATTTCAAAGTTAGGGATTCATTAGTTTGAATATAGCCTATTGGAACAAACAATATAATAACATCTTGATGAGTTTATTTCTGACAAAACATAATATATATTTAACATATGAGCAGAAACTGGCTAACAAAAGCTTATTTGATGTCTATTTTACAGTAAAAACTTTATAATCTATCCAAAACTAGTCAACGTAATGTTGTCTTTCATATTACGTTTGTAACATAGTAAACAACAGTGCGCATCTGTGCCGTTCATTATTTCACACACAACAGAAACGCGATTCATATTTACAGTCTTTTTGCGGTTTACAGACACTATTCCATATTGCGATTAGAACAAAGCACTTAAGAATAAAAAACGTACTATTCACGATCCTTAACTGGATCCGTTGCTCCTCGAAGTGAAACTAAACCAGCACTTGTTCTGAGGTAAATTTACCCAGGATTATTCCTCACAGCCTCGCAAGACGACACAGTACATTAATCTGATTAAACTTGGTGTGTTTTATCGAGTTAATTTGGGCGTTCACAAGTTTCTCTGTCCGTGGGCGTGATCACATTAACACTTAATGAGCTATAATGAGTTGAAATGAGAACGACTGACATCTCTTCTCTTTTTATATAGATTACATAAATATTTAAATGTGTACTTTTAAATGATCTAATTCAAAACTAAAACAAATATTCTCTGATTATAAAGATATATTGCCTTTGCTTGTGTGACTAGCATTTGCTGAGTTTTGTTTAAATTTAGAGACGTGCTCCAGAAATTAAAGTTCACGGAGACGAAGAGGCAGAAAGCACACCCTGTTTATTTTCTTTATTTACCAAAAGCACAATGTTTTATTTCGATTGCTAAATGTCTACTTTTTTATGTGTCCACTTAGTTTATTTTTTCATATTTCTTAAGTCTGTATGACCAAAAATGACGGAGTATTTTAAGTCTATTTTGCTGCTATGTGAAAAAAATAGACCCCAGAGGGTTAACTACTATGTACTAACATTTAAATTAACTATTTGAAACAATGCACTTTTTGTGTACATACATGTTTTTACATTGTACTTATATTTAAAAAAAACATACCTGCATGTAATTACACCTGTAATTAATTTCTGTAATTGCTTCTATAATTGCACTGTTGACCCTTCCCTTACACCTTAACCCACCTTTAAACCTTCCCATACCACCAAACCTGTCCCAACCTTACCTGTATCCCACCACAATAGCAGCAAAAGTTGTAATACAATTGTACTTATTTTTTTATGTAAGTACATAGTAGTTAAAGACACCTAATATATATTCAATTCAATTCAATTCACCTTTATTTAAATAGCGCTTTTTACAATACAGATTGTATCAAAGCGCTTCACAGTGATAACATGAAAACAATATAACAAAAACAATATAACAAAGTTTGTTTCTAAAAGAAAATTGCGTCAACGTCCACCTAAGTAAGGCAGATCAATAATATTATTGTAACGTATTATAATTAATTCCAGATTGGTTTCAGACTTTTGGAGCCCACTTACAATATTCTACATACAATAATCTTTTGAAATAATAACCTCTTATGGTAACCGGTCATTAAATATGTGCTTTTGTGGGCTAAATTCTCCACTCAGGCATCCATGAGGACTACCAGCTCCCCTACTATGACCTTGTACCATCTGATCCATCAGTAGAGGATATGAAGCGTGTAGTTTGTGACCAAAAGCTTCGTGCCAACATCCCTAACAGGTGGCAGAGCTGCGAGGTGAGCATTCCTTCAGGTTTTTTCTTTTTTTTTGTAGATGATGTAAGTGGAGGCGCCACTCTTTCCTCACTCTATCTTGATGTGCATTTTACTGCTGTGAAAGGGAAGATTCAATTGCATTCAATTTGCAATCCTAAAAAGCCTCTAATCTAACTAACTGTCTGCACAGCTATCACAGCTTGCCGATGTAAAAGACACATTTGATTACTGTGCTGCCCAATATTAAATGGCTGCTCTCTGATTTTCACACTTTGTAAATGGTTATTTGTGGGAAAGCAGATGCAGAGAACAAGCCTATTAAATCAGGCCTGAACTGACATGCTGGATCAAATACTGCAACCCATGCTGAGAAAGTGTCTGGACACTGATTGTCATCAGATCTTCAACCAAAACCAATCACACTACCTAAGTGGAAATATTTAGCCAAATATGTTTGAACCAGAAACTGATTTAGAAGAAGAAGAGGAGGAACAACAAATTATACAGGCTCATCTACAAGTCGGTGTATCAGAATGATAATGAGTTTTATGTATCGCTCTCTACAGCGTCGGACACATAGCGGTAATTGATATGATTAGCATTTGGCTTGACTATATGTTATCAAACATCTAATGTGTTACTAATGTTAAACAAACTAGGTTCCCGTTCGCCATCTCAGAGTCAGACAGCTGCTTTCTAAAAATCAGCATCCTTAGAAACGCTTTGAACATCATAGTAAGTAAGTGGAGAAAAGCCCTGCCCCACATGACACCCTAACCTTCAATTCTGATGTGACCCAAAGAACCTGCACGTCTCACTCTTTCAGAGAACTGATCCACGTAAATTACTTTCAGAAAGTTTGTCTGATTCAAAAGCTGAGCGAATTCTGAGTTCAAAGGAGTAAAAAAATTGTTTTACTTTTTCCCTGTATGCGCGGACGTGATTAAAATAAAGAGCTGTCTAGACTGTGATGTTTAATGAAAAGGACGAGAGAAGGCCACAGCAGACGAGACACTTCATGCTCTCTGCTTTAAGGTCCTACAATGAAAACACATCAAACCCAACCGTTGGTAAATGGTGAGTTTTCAGAAGCAGCTAAATGCTATGAATTCTTTCATGTCTTAGCTTTACCGTACAATGATTTCTTTATTTGACCTTTCGTAATGCAAAGTCATGAATGTAGGTCATGTAAATGACAAGGGAGTCATGCGTTACTTAAATAGGAACCAAATTACCTTTTTAGTTGACAAATTACAGAATTTCTTGATAAAGCTGGTTGTCAAAGGTGCTTTGGTTGATTTAGTTACTAACTTCTTACTTTAGTTTATGTAACTAATCTTCATATTGAATATACCCCCTAGTTTTTTATTTTTTACACTGTCACTCTAGTGATTATGACTGCATATATGTGCCATATAAATATCACTCTGTTTTGTAATACATATGCCTGTTTGAAGAAAAAAAGTAAAATGTGGTTCCAACAAGTTTCTCTTACAGTCAATATTTTTTGTCAAATATTTTATTGTTTTTTTAGAATACCATTATTAATTTATTAGAACAAAACTAATATCAGTGTTATATTAGAATTGTTCATATACTATTATAGTATTTAATAATATTTTTGGATCACTTTTGATATTTTTTGTAATTTTGTTTGGTGCTTTTGTCATTTTGTTAGTTTTTTATTTATTTTTATTTCAGTTTTAACTTTTACTAGTTTTGTTTCAGTTAGTTGCAAAGGGAACATTTACTTTTTTTGTTTAATATTAATAACTTATATGTATCTTTTATTTCAGCTTTATTTCAATACACGAATATGATTTTAATAGAATTGGTTTTAGTTGTCAGTAACAACACTGGTCAATTTGTACGTTTAATTGCACACTGTCAAATCAACAACCAATCAGTAAATGGACTGATGTAAAACTCACAAACCTGAAAAAATTCTGTGAAGGGAGTTCGTTGTAATAGCTTTGAATAATTGAGGCTGATTCAAACCACTAACTCATGAGCGAGCGAAGTTTTGTGAGACGGACTCAGTGAAAACAACCAGTATCATGTCTTCATGTGCAGGAACTCCAACAACATGATATCGGACTCATATGGACGTGCACAAAGATTTCCAGACTGTAACCAATGGCAAATAGATTTGAACTGATTGGTAACAACAGAAATATGTTGCCTGAAAAGCTCAGAGTTGTGCTTGTATGCGAGAGAGTGAGGATGCATAGCAATTATATCTGTGATAGAAGTATCTATGTCCTCCTGCCCGCAGGCCCTGCGTGTGATGGCAAAGATCATGAGGGAATGCTGGTACGCCAACGGTGGGGCTCGCCTCACTGCGCTGCGCGTGAAGAAGTCGCTATCCCAGCTGTGTCAACAAGAGGGCATCAAGATATAGAGCAACAACTCATCATCTTTACACTGCCTATCCACTCCCTCCACTCATCTAGAGGGGTGAGCGAGGGTACTACATCCTCTGTGGAGGTTTACCTTAATCAGGGATATCGAGGGACCCGAAGCAATTGGTGCTGTTCCCTGTTGTCCATGAAAAGATATGTCCTCATCATGCAAAACCATCTCAAACAACCTTAACCAGGAGTCAGTCACCCATGCTTCAACTGGTGAGTCACCAAACTAACAACAGACAGCCATTCGGTGTCATTGATGTGCTTTGCTGGACTTGAGCCTTTATGGACTTATTTCTGTATATAGCCTGTTGTCTTACATATGTGACTGGACTTGCTTGTGTTTATTTGTATGCTCAAATATTGACAGGTATACGTACACAGAGCCACACACTATGTATATGTAGTCCGTGCTGTGTTTATTTATTTATTTTTGTCCCAGAAAGTGCCACTGCTTTGAATCAGTCGTGTTTATCATATTTGGTAAAGGATCTTTGTAGGTTTCGGGTACTACGTCTATTTACAGTGGAGATCGGATTAACCACAAGCACTTGTTTGCAAACAGCTCAGCAGTTAAAGGATCATAACATTGACTCAAAAGTCTCGCCTGAGTATGCAGAAGCGGTTTTGTAATGTGACTTCACCGACATACTCGCTTTCCAGACAAAGAGAGTGAGTGAGGGCAGCACATTCAGCACAATCATACTGCATATTAGAAGCAGCCTGTGGTGTTGCCTAAAGGGACCAGTCCTTAAAGAATCAGGCACAAAACTGGGTCAGTCATTAAAGCCATTTGTACAAAGGCCAACCCAGCTACAGCACATCCGTGTTAACGTAAAAAGACTGTGTATGTGTTTTTTTTTATGCCCATTTGAAAAAATGGTGGTTTTGTGATCATCCGAGTATACATTTCTGTAGTCCAATTTACTGTTTTCATTCATGCTCTTTGAGACATTAAGAGAATATTGACACATGTAGCTAAAAAAGATGCAAACCTATTTATTGTATTCTTCTCTGTGCATATAGTCTGTACATGTTCATCGGGTTGAGTTATCCAGTTTTAGATGTTTTGCTGTAAGCACTGTTTTTATGGAGCCATTTTCATTCAGATCAGGACAAGACACCATTTTGATCGTTTAAAATAGTGTGACCTCACACATAGTTGAGCAACAGTCATTGAGCTGCAGTGGATGTATTGTGTAACTCTGCGTCTGTATTTGGTCAAGTTAAGCAATAAGTGCTCCTTTGATTATTGATTATTTTATTTCAAAGCCGGAGAGTAAGAGAATGTGCTTTTTCTCTTATCAAACTCTCTCTGTGATCTCGAAACTTTTTGTCTAGACATTTTAGAGTAATCTGTCTTTATTTGGAAATTCAAATATAAAACATAAAGGATCTTTGGGGATGTCCTTCAGTTACGTCAGGTGGAAATCTCATATTCTCTGCACCAAAGATACTGAAAGATTAAGATGTGAAGAAAATTGTGAAAATTCCATGCCGTCAGATACTCACCCTTGTGACATTTCAAACCCATAAGGCTTTTGTGCGTCTTCGAAAACACAAATGAAGATACATTTAATGAGATTTAATGAAAATTAGAAATTTCTGTCCCTCCTTTTAAAGTCCATGTAATTAAAACGTTGACGCTTCAAAAAGTTTACAAAAGGATCATTAAAACAAATCCACATAAATTGAGCGGTTTGATTCAATGCATTTATGAACATGTTGAAGCATTAAAGTTATGGTGCAATAGACTTCCAATGGACTAAAAGGAATTTGATTCCATTAAAATGATCTTCATTTGAATTTCGAAGATGAACAAAAGTCATACAGGTTTGGAAGAACATGAGGGTAAGGACAGAATTGTCATTTCTCCATCACTCTCCTTTCCTTAATGAATGAATGAATTGCACAAAAGGCTAGGAAATGATTTAGGATACAGCCAGGAACACTTTCGCTGTGATATGCAATCTCACTGTGTTCTCCAGAGCATGATGCAATACAAGTGCCTCGATTTTATAAAGATTTGTTCTGCTCTCTGTGAAGTCACAAACTATTAGTTTTCACAAGCCCCCAAATGTAAAATGACTCTGTATTTGTAACTATTTCCTGATATTTGAAGGTCATCATACCTCTGTCCTTCTTTGTTCATTCCAAGGTCCTTGTTTATGTGCAGACAAATGTTGCTATTCAGTTTCCTCTATTAAAGTCATTCCAGAAGCCTTTTTTATATTGAGTGCCTACTCTACAGTTGGTGTAAATGTAATTAGACATTGAAGCATCTTACAAGATCCAGAAACATAATTTTGAAAAACACTACTGTGCAAAAATCAAACATGATTAATGTCAAAGCATATTACCTCTTTGGACCAATGTGATCATTTACCTCAGTGTATATAAAGGTTTATTCATTTAGATGTGACATTGATTTGTACAAAGTGCTTGCATTGAAAAAAGTCTCTGTTTTATGTTTCTCTGGAAGAAATTGTCATTGCTAGTATTCTAGTTCTCTTCTTAATATTTGAAACACAAATGAGAGGCATTTGAGTCTTATTTGCTTCTTCGGTGTCATATTGTCATTCAGAGTAGTGTTCTGCTGTATTTGGATGAGAATATGAATGCTCAAAGAATTGTAATGGATATGTCTTTTTTTCTGTCTGCTAAACTTGTAAATTTGGAATACATGTTAATAAATAGGTACTTATTTTACCTGAAAAAGAGTGGTGTTGTTTGTAATGAATGCTGGCAACACATTGTTTTCTCGATGTTCTCGTATGAATGTCTGTAGTTTTATTCCTCTGTTGCAGCACTGAACATCTCGGAGAGCATGTGCAGAATTGTCTTTGATGGATGATGTCACAGTTTTTCTTCTCTGGTTGTTCAGAATCGGGTGAAAAGCATTCATACACTACCGCTCAAACCCGATTGCGGTCAATTATTGATACTTTTTTTTCTGCAAGGGTGCTTTAATCTGATCTAAAGTAAAGGTTACAATGTTAAAAAAATTTTTTTTACATATTATAATATATTAAAATAGAAAAAGTTATTTATATTTCACAATATTACTGTATTTTTACTGTTTTAAGCCTTGGTAAGCATGAGAAATGTTTTGTACCAGAGAAAAACATGTGTACGGGAGTGTATCTAACAGCTACATACATTGAAGCACTTGGGCCTGATTCCTGTAAAGTGTAGCTGTGGTAACACACAAGTGCAACACCTGAAAAGTAAACTAGACAAGGGGGTTCTCTGGTGCACTGGAAGTCTATCAGCTTATTTGTTTCTTTCACAACACGTCAAAGTCCATCTGCTGCTTCCGCCTCCACACAGCACAACAGTCAGGGATGCGGAGAATGTAGGAGCAGAACAAATGTCTCACATGTAAAAAGAAACAGCATATCTGAAAAGCTGACTCGAGAAAAAACTTGACCATCAAAAAAATGTACGCTACACTGTAAACATCTAGTCAAGTTCATTTTATCCCGGCGGACTCTAAATATTTAACTGTGCGAATCTATGATGCTCCCTCATGTTCCACAAACTGAGGATTTGCTTACACTTCTTGTGTCCTGACAACTATTACAATTTAATGTCAATAAATGAAAGAAATTAATTGCAGTGGCAAGCAGGTAAACGAGAACAGAAAAATGCATTTTCTTTTCAAACCTTTCCTTTGTGGTTCCATCTAGAACATTTGTAGATGTATAATAGATTTCACACTCCGTCTGTTCTCAGAGCTCTCTTTATATTGTGTGCTTTGAAAGTTTAGAGACTGAACACATCCACATTCTGGACTGTGGACTCAGTTGTGCTCAAACTTTTATGAAGTATGCATTATAAATAAGTGAGAGGAGATTAAGGTCAAACAAAGGTTGTCCTGTCCTCACAGGAAACTCGAAGCACGTTTCATTCATTCTTTTTCCGTTACTCCCATGCACCTAAAAACACAACCTAAATGCTGTACCTTGAAATCAGCATGAAACGGGATTTGCGATTCTTTTCTTGCCAATTGTGATATATATCTGAGAAAAAGAAAAAAATGTAGAGCGGACCTTGATTTGATCCATCAGGAATTGATTGGATGGTTGTGGTTTGCTATTGCTGTGATGTCAGGTTGTCCCGCCCTCACGCCAGTAAACAACATCAGAAAAGAGAAGAGACATGGCTGAGGTTATTTTAATTAAAGATGAGGGCACTTGAATTAAAAAAAAAAAGTAATGTGCACAGATAAATCATTTATAAGTGATTCTATTATTGGAGATACGTTTCGCATTTCAAAAAGTTAAGGAAAAAAACTGGTGACTAACAGAAATTCTTTCCAGTATCTTATTGAAAACATTCAACTTTAATAATTCAGTGCTTGCCAAACACAAGTTACTTCCTTTTTTACCTTCCTTTTTGAAAAAAATTCTTTCTTTGCAGTTTTGTTTGTCAACTCTGTTACTGTCAATTCTGTTACATACTGTTAACAGAGTTTGACTGTAACAGAATTGACCATTTGAAACTTTTAAGCCAAAAACTCCACTTGCTAGCATAAATGCTAAGAGCACGTAGCACAAATGAAATCATGACAAAAGACTTCTAAACAAACCACTGTGTGATCAGTGATAAATTCTGTTTTCCTTTTGATATTGTGGTAACAATGTTGACGTTTTACAAAATAACTCGGTGTAAGAGCTTTTTAGATTCAAATATTTTCTCAGAGAGAGCACAAATACCTTTTACTGCTTCCGATCTTATCAGTGTGGTAAAGTGACATCATGTGTCTTACATAGTTGTGGGAGATAATTCCACCAATTTAAAGGCAAAGTATGGTACGGTAACAGAATTGACTCAAGATTTATGGACAACAAAAGTTAACTATTTAATGTTGTAAAATTAGGAAAATTACTATTTAGGGCTTTTATAAATGAAATGTTACCAAAAGAAAAGTAAAATAAAATATTTTGTTTACACAATGATACATGATGGGCAAAATTACACTGACTGATTCGGACAACAAGAAATTATGATTTTTAGCTATATAAGACCTTTGTGGCCTGTAACATCTTGTGATCCATGACAATGAATAGCAAACTAAAATAGTTAAAAATAACCATTTGAAAAAAGCAGAAAAAATAATGACTTTGGACACCAAATGTACCTGCAATAATAGAATCACCCAGATACGCGATATTCCATGAAATAAAAGAAATCCTTTTTTTTTTCTTTACTTTAAAGCAACCCCTGTCCTTGACCTGTCCCCAAACAGACCAAAAGGAACAAATGAGATGGGGTGGTTTCACTCATTTAGCGGCATTCTCAAGGCCTTTGCATATAATTATTGTTCGCTGTCGAATAAAACGCATCAAATAGTGAAGTCTAGACTTAAACAAAGTTTCATAAGGACAGATCTGCCACTGCTGCCTCCCCTCAAAAGAGACTGCTTCAGGATATAGTTTCGTCACAAGAAGGACTTTTAGCATAACTTCAGTAATGTGCTGATTTCTTGAGACTGAATGAACGTGGCCCTGAATCAAACTGTCTCAGATCGAATCAAACACAAGCTCAGATGTGATCATACGGAACACAGTGTTCTTTGCCATAGTTTTTCCTTTGTCCTTTTGTTTCAACTTAAATGTCCTCAGATGCATTTTTGTAAGACTTCCCTGAGGTTCGAAACTGAGCCCACTCAGCTCTGTGGGGCAGTATTTAGGTTACCACCGCGAGTTCTGTCTTCTTCACCAGTTTATTACGGTGCAGACAGACACGAGGGTTTTCAGTCCCTTGAAGAGAATGAAAATTCGTATTACGTCCTTTTCCAAACAAGGCCAATTTGATTGAATGTTTCATATATCATCATTCTGAGGAAGAAGTTGCATATATCATCATTCTGGGGAATAAATGATGACATAACGAGATATAAACTGATGTTGGCGTGTGTTCCTTTTCCCTCAATCTACTCAATCTACAAAGGTAATTACTAGTAAAGAGGAAGAAGAAACTGGAGATTACTTTGCAGCGCCACCTTGTGGTGGTAATGAAGGGTTTCTAATGTAACGTAAGCATAAAAAAACTTGTATATTTATGTATGAACGTACTTGTATAAAACAAAAAAATTATAAAATATCACACAAAAATTGTAAAATATAAAGTAATACATTTAATACATAATAAATATGTTTAATAATAACTAATAAAAAAAATAAATGTATACATTTATTATTAAGTAAATATAATAAATAATATATGTAAAATAAGCAAAGATATAACCTTTTTAAAAGACCAACTTTATTAGGGTTATGGGTGATGAGTTTGGTTTAAAAAATAGATTTCAGTCAATAACATTTTCGTAGCCAAGGGTATAATGTCCGTCCGCTATGTATGAAGAAATAAAATGTTTGATACTTTAAGAGCCCTCTATTTTTAAGTATTTAAGTATCTTTTTTGAATTTTTTAACAATTTAGTAAAATGATAAGCAGATTTTTAAAGCTGTTGTCATATAGATCTATTACCTCTGACTCATCTTTTATGATAGAAAGATGGAGGCATTTCAATGTCTCTATATTTTTGTTTTTGTACTCTTACATCAGTTCCAGTTTGTAAGTTTGTCCTCCAGTCATGCCTGAGTTGTTGAGCTGCTTCTGTTTCTTTCTTTCTTTCTTTCTCATAGACTTTAAGAATGAGTAACAAAAAGTCACTGATGATCTATAGTGTTGTTCCTCAGGACTGTGTTGTTCTGTTTATTTCTTCTGCGAGTCCTGCATGGCCTGATCATAGGGAGGAGGAGGCTGGCTGTACGGCAGGGCTGAATACACTGCAGTCATGTGACTGGGGTGGGTCTGCACTGGGTAGACAGTGGAAATGACTGCAGTCTCTGAGTCTCCATAACTGTGAAAGCCAGCCTGACGCAGTCCTGCCAACACACACAGCGGATCAAACCACATGAACGGTGTTTGCAGGACAAGGGCATACAGAGAGATTACCTGGTGACATGATGGGGTGTCTGGTGAAGGCCACGTTAAAATCAGGTTCCCCAGGTGGAGGGTAAAGGTGGACACGTCTTCGAATGAAGTACCCAGTACTACAGCAGCACAAAATGCCAATTATCAGCAACAGCCTACGGACCAATTAAAAACAGCCCATAAAATCACATGAAGTGTTCCGTTCCGGGATGGTAGTGGATATCATCCCACATCGAGAAGATCCCTGGTTCTCTGATACTTTAGGACAAACGGTTTGGAAAATGGATGGACCATCTGACCCACGTTTTTTGAGCCACATTTTGAATGCACCCCCCAAAAAAAATTCTTGTAGAAATAACTCACCAGAAAAACCATATTCTCTGAGCAGAAAGGGCTCGAACACAGCATTGTGTGCCACAGCAGTCCTCATATGTCTTGCATCTAAAGACAGACACATATTCTTCCTCAGTCCTTACTGTGGCTCTTCAATAAGGCTTGAAGGTCATGCTAAAATATGTATGATTGGTTATATATTCATATAAACTACTGTTCAAAATCATTGGGGTCAGCCAATGATGCATTAAATTTACAAGTGACAGTAAAGACATTTACAATGTTACAAAATATTTGTAATTCAAATGAATGCTGTTCTTTTGAACTTTGTATTAATCAAAGAATCCTGAATAAATGGTTTCCACAAAAAAATTAAGCAGCTCAACTGTTTTCAACATTGATAATAATAAGAAATGTTTCTTAAGCACCAAATCGGCATATTAGAATGATTTCTGAAGGATCATGTGACACTGAAGACTGGCTGCTAATTCAGCTTAGCCATCACAGGCATAAATTACATTTAATATAAATATATATATAAACCATAAACTTTTGAACGTGTGTGTGTGTGTGTGTGTGTGTGTGTGTGTGTGTGTGTGTGTGTGTGTGTGTGTGTGTGTGTGTGTGTGTGTGTGTGTGTGTGTGTGTGTGTGTGTGTGTGTGTGTGTGTGTGTGTGTGTGTGTATAAAAACTTGATGATGAATGTGGTGTTTTGAACTGAATGTAATGAAGGAGCATGAAGTACTGTCTGCTGTGGCTGCAGGAGAATTCATCTGCGTTTGGTGTGAAGACTGAACTGTTTGTACCTCACCTCCTGTGGCGCATGTCAGTGGCTGGGTATACGGGAGCACTTGTGATAAATTACTCTTATTGAAACTAGTAAAGGGGGTGGGGGGTTTCTGAGCTGAGGAATTTATCTCTTTTATTCAATGTGCATCTGAATTAATCCTTTAACCGATGTTCTGTTGAAACTATTAAGAAGAAAGGGGTGAGGTAAGTAAAGATTAGGGTAGTGTGGGTCCTGCTTCTTGTTTCTGTCGTTAAAACCACAACTGCCCATTTTAACAGACACACACACACACACACACACACACACATATATATATATATATATATATATATATAATACTACACTTACATGAAGTATACTGGATAATCTCCTTCAAAGTACCAACAGTCCTTTTTTTCAGCAAGTGTCTGCAAAAGATTTTGTTTAGTTTTTAAAGTAACGTCACGTATGTGCAAAAGTGATTAACTCTGAACTGTTTCAATATTCATGGAAGAGCATGGTAAACATGCAAGCTGCAACTAACAAAATCATTCTGAAAAGAGGAAACAATATCAACTGTTTGAAATCAGACCATTTCAGACATACTTTTGTGTTGGCTCTACTATCATTTTGTCTTGTTTGCAAAATACGGAAACTACTGGCCCATTTTACCTGACATCACCCTATTTATAAAACCAACACAAAATGAACCACCAAAATAGCAAATAGAAAATAAACTATGACAGTTTCAACCTCAGGAACCTTTGTTGTGTCCTATTTTAACATAATAGTAATTTTTTTGTGACAGTTGTAGACTGCATCTGACACCATAGTTCATGGAAAATAAACTACAAAGAGCTTCTTGTGTGAGTTCTGGACGAGAACAATAAACAATGTTTTGTGCTATATGGACACAGTGTGTCTCTGTGTGGAATTGTAAGATGTTTGTGTCATAGACTGACGGAGAAAGAGATGCACGACAAGAAAATTATCATCAAAGTCTAGTTCAAAACTAACGTGTTTTTGGTAACTCTTTTGAAAATAAAATAATAAAAAAATAATGAAATGCCGTTACTCACCTCAGCAAATAAAAGTGTGAAGAGGAGGCTGTATAATAATTGTCGCATTCTGTATTCAGGCCTCACAGCGCGAGATCAGCCTGTTGCACGTGTCTTACCTCAAGACCCGGTCGAGATGCTCGTGGTTTGATGGTGGGTTGTTGATCCACATGTCCTGGATTTGAACATTATTAGACCCTCATGCAGCGCTCGTGCAGTGGCATCGCAGTTCCCCATTATATAGTGAGGAGGATAAGAAGGATGACATCACATGACTTTACATCACAAAGACACGCTTGTGCAGCTCTCCTTTACAAATTGAATCACTATTTTCACAATAACCTAAACTAAACTTCTTGATGATTTCCGTTACACGAGAGTAGATGTTAAAACTTCATGCTGATTTGTACTCGGCTTTCGCCAAGATAAGCACAAACTAAGACGTGGCTTTACAGTAACCTATGCTTCACCCATTTACGCTTCTTTCCATATGGTGGTGTGACTCCCCTTCTGTCCGGCGTTAATGACTGCAGTGTACTTGGCGCGTCAGCACACACGACGGCTGCAACTACAGTGTGGTCTCCCTAGTGGACCAGCACGACAACCGTCTGGATTGAGCCGAGTAGGGGACATCTCTAGGGTCTTCAAGTGGGCACCTTCCGTCCTCAGTGTTTCGTCGACTAGCCCACGACACCTCAAGCGGGCTCGACAGTGACTCTGGCGTCCCAGAGTCACCCCCCTCCGTCCCCCACTCAACTCAGCCCAGCTTACTGACCTCTACATCCCTCCTGCTGCTGAGACCTGACCACAATCTCACAATCTCTCCGCAACCCAACCATACGCGCCAACCCGTTTAGGCTGTCGAGCCCCACTGTCTTCGTTAAAGTAGGTTCAGTGGCAACGGTTCCGTATGGCATACTACTGCAAAACACCATATCCGCCCAATCACCAACCCTCATTCACGCAATTTACACAGGAACGTAATAACTTACTATGCAAACTATACAAATAAACCAACAGACTCTTCGAGTTTTTCAAGAATTCTACGAACCCGTAGCGTGGCGGCCTGCACACAGCCAGCCAGAATATTTCCGTCTCAACCACAGCCAGTTGCTGCTCCTCTCTGCTGCTTCAAGATAAGTTCTTTACTGTGCGACGCAACTCTTGGCCACTGAATCCGACGTCTCTGAGGAACCGGGTTGTAGAGTGTGCCACAAATCCTCGACAACCCACTTCCACTGGATAAACCTGGACTCTCCATCCTCGCTGTTCTGCTTCAGTGGCCAGATGAGCATACCGCAGTTTCTTCCTCTCATATGCCTCATCTACCGCATCCTCCCATGGCACTGTTAACTCTATCAGTTGAACAATGCGTGCTGATCCAGACCACAAAACAATATCTGGTCGTAGTTTAGTGGTGGCAATCTCAGGTGGAAAATTAAGCCGTTGATCAAGATCAGCCAGCATCTTCCTGTCCCTAGCAGCTTCCAGTTGTCGTGGGCGAGAATTGGTTTTAACACCTTTTCTTGGTGGTTGCTCGCCTGGGCGGAGGAATATTGTCTTCTGTGTGTAATGTTTTGCTAGAACAGGCGGCAACTTATTGGTCATACTACGCTTGCCTTCCAATGCTAAAGCCAAACATCGCAATACTTGGTCATGGCGCCAAGTAAACCGACCTTGGCTAAGAGCCACCTTACATCCTGTCAAAATGTTCTTAATGTAATCTTAATGATTACACTAGCTAATAGTTCTGTCAAATGCTAGTATTGTTTCTTTAGGGATCTAATTACCTTTTACACAACCAATGGTGTGTTTAAACTAAAACCCATTTAATTATGACTTATCCCAAAAGGGTGACCAGTAAGCACGGTCTTAGTCACGATCAACTAGTGCAATGCCTGTGCAAAATCATTTTTTGTGTGTTTTTAGTAATTGTTGGTTTGGTATGTTTGATTTGCTGAATAGCCTAGGCTACTTTTACACAGGAGCCTAAACTCTGAGAAAACGGTAACGTTAAGCGCACCAGAATAAAATATAATATTCAGAATTATTAAACAGTGTGGCTGACTTGGCTGACAGATTCAGTTAAATCGCTTACTTTTTCAAAAATGAATCGCTACATTTTCAAAAGTGAATTGCTACTTTTTCAAAAAAAAGAATTGATACTTTTTCAAAAAGAATTGCTACTTTTTCAAAAAAGAATCGATACTTTTTCCAAAAAGAATTGCTACTTTTTTCAAAAAAAGAATTGCTACTTTTCCAAAAAGAATCGCTACTTCTTTCAAAAAGAATCGCAACTTTTTTTCAAAAATAATAATGTAACAAAATAATAATGTAACAAAATAATAATGTAACAAATGTATAATAACACTGTAATAAATGTATAATTACATTATAATAAATGTATAATCACATTGTAATAAATGTATAAGACAGTAACAAATATATAATAACATTTTTTACACTACTTTTTTCAAAAAGAATCGCTACTTTTTTTTAAAGAATCGCTATTTTTCAAAAAGAATCGTTACTTTTTTTTAAAGAATCGCTATTTTTTCAAAAAGAATCGCTTCTTTTTTCAAAAGGAATCGCTCCTTTTTCAAAAATAATCACTACTTTCAAGAATCGCTACTTTTCAAAAAGAATCGATACTTTTTTCAAAAAGAATAATGTAACAAAATAATATAATAAATGTATTATTTTCATTTATTATAATGTAATAAATGTACATTGTAATAAACGTATAATTACATTGTAATAAACTTATAATTACATTGTAATAAATGTATAACAACCTTGAAAAGAATCGCTACATTTCTCGAAAGAAATCGCTACTTTTTTACTTCAGAAGTAAACAGTGTAGCTGACTTAATGTTTAGCTGACAGAATGTTTATCTTTAAACCACAACTTCAATGTGTGCTTCTTTTACAGATATTTAATGATATCTTTTGCATTTCGAATCCAAACAATGTCAAACTCGGCACTGCACTTACTGGTGCCCGTAGCAAGACACCTGTCAAGTTTGAAATCCATCGGATTAACGGTTCGAGAGATATTCGATTAACAGACACACAGACAGACAGACGTTCCTGTAATTTATAGATATATAGAAGATAGATAGAAGATTAGCTTAACACTTTCATTAATGTATTATCAAAAATGAAAATGCTGTCATCATTTACTCACCTCTCAAGCGAGTTCAAACCTTTTTGACATTCTTTCTTCAATGGAACATAAGTTATTTTGAGAAATTTCTTCTTTTTTTTTTTGTGCGTACAAAGGAAAATCAATCCAAAACTATTTGGTTACCATTCTTCTAAATACAATATTTTGTGTTCTGCAGAAGAAAGAACGTCGTGCGGGTTTGGAACGACATGACCGTGAGAGAATGTTAATTTTGGGGGTGAACTATCCCTTTAATCTTTACCTTCAAAAACCTGGGTCATAACTGATTACATGTAATCTGGATTACAAAATCACTTTCCATTTTAAAATACTCGTAATCAGAGTAGTTACATATTATGTCAAAAACCTACACCAAATTAAGCTAAAACTCAAAAACAAAATCACCACTAAAAACAATTTATCATTTGGATCTTTTATTGCAGTGTATGGTTCCAGTGTTTTACACTGATATTTTCCCAGAAACCCAAAGAATATAGTGTGTGTAGGTACAGTAGTGTTTACTTAAATCTTCTCTCAAGCATCAGTAGCATTACTATACAAAAATATACATTTGTGTTCACACTCTAGGAAGAACAGATATTCTTTTGAGTCAAAAGAGTCAAACAACGTTCTCTCTTCACCCTTGTTAAGTACCATGATATCGTCAATGCAAAGAGATGCCTTCAGAAATCACTTTGCCTGTATAGACACACATAAAGTCTTTGTTCAAAGCTGAAACTTTTAGAAATTACAACAATGAATTTAAGATGAACAAAGAGTATTATTTAGATCTCCCCATCATCAAACAGAAATATTAAAGTCCTGGCCTGGGAATGACACTATTCTTAAATGTGGCAGTAATGATTACACTCAATCATAATACCACAGAAATTCTATTGGCATTTATACGATAACTGTATTTGCATAGATTAATAAATGACCAGTCACAAGTAAACTGAAATAGTCCAAAGGAAAAGTGAAATGCACATTCTACTGTAGCAACATTCCACTAGTGTTGATTTAAGGTTTTCAAAGTATAAATAAAACATTACTCTATCCAAGTAGCAAACATTTCAATGAAATATTTGTTGAAAAGATTCTAAAATCACATCTAAATAATTTCAAAATTCTAATTAGCAAAACTAAACAAATACAAAACCCTTGTCCAGTATTAAAAATGTGTACTTAGGCTAACAAACATTCCCACAACACAGAAAGAAAGAAAAAAAACATAAAAACCAAACAGGTTGCAGAGCTTTTAAAAGCTTAAATGTAACAACGTAGCCAAAATATTGTAATGCATTTTCTAGACGAAATTAGTCTATTTTGTGTCACAGTATTCTTAAGATCCTTTGCGTATATTCTGACATTAGCTCTATATAATCTACACTGTGTTCATTTTAACTCAACAATATATGAGTGTCTTTGTAGTAGCTAAATAAATACCACAAATATTTAAAACAAAAAGGTAAATTAAATAAAGGTTTTGGTTGCTACTTTTTGTGAATTTAAATCACAATTTTAATCAAGCAACGGTTTCAACGTAGTAACAAAACATTATCTTCTAAATTAAGATCTACACAATTTAAAATCCTGACCTACGGCCTAAAATCAACAAATCTACTAGCACGCAAAAAATAAAAAGGAAAATTAATTTGGACACAACCATTCAAAAAACACACAAGATACCATTTCCAAGTCCAGGACCATTGAAGCCATTGAAAAACACGCACCCAATGATTGTTGAGCAACTGCGTAAACAAGATACAAGGTACTTGATAGTGACACTACTGAAGAGCAGCTTCACCTTTGACATCTGCACTATGAGAATCAAAAGACATCAGGTCAGAAGAAATGGCCTCTGCTTTGCCCTCAGACCAGCTGCTCTTCAGAAAACTTGGCTCATCAGAAAAACCCTGATTGACATCATCAGTTTCTGAGGGGGAAAGTGAGGACTCGTTGGTTTGCATGGGATATTCTGCAGGCAAGGCAGATGACTCGAGATGAAGGGCGGCGGGATCAATGAGCAGGGAAGAGATGTCTATAGGAGGCACGGAAGATTCGAGAGATGGGATTGAAGAATTCATCAAAGATGCCATGTCTGTTGGCATGCTATGATCGAGAGGTTGATTTGGGAGAAGAGGGTGTGAGACAGAAAGGGGAGGAGAAACATCTGAAGGTGGTGTAATAGAGGAACTGAAATCCGCAGCAAGATACTCCTCTGTAATTTTCTCTTCAGGGTCACGACAAGGAAACTCTCGGTCTTGAAGCTCCTCTGCAAAAAGAGACACATTTTTGCCCATTTTAAAATCTAGACTTGTGCTCACCGAATGAATTCTGTTCACCTAAAATTAGCAAAGCTGCCTCACCAACACCCGATACGTCAATGTCCTCTCGGACAGCTAGGGATGTATTTGTCATGTCAATGGAAGAAGTGGATAGGTCCAGTCGATCTGCCATGTCTGACACTTCTGAATTCATCATGACCACTTCTGACTGATCCGAGAAACCTGGAAGAACCATTGCTTTGATGCATTATTTTCATGATTCATGTTCTACAGACGTGTTAGATGAAGCACATAATTTGAAGCCTTACCAGGATCCATGACTCTCTGAATGGGAGGTGGCAGTGGGGTTTCAAGATCCAAGCCACTCATTGACTGACCAGACCCCATTAAGGACACCTGAGAAAATCCGTATATCACCAAAAAAACAAATGTGAAGCAAATGTGTGAATGTTGTTCAACCAATTTGTGCACATGCACAAACAATTTAAAAGGATATTTCAACCAAAAATAAATTTGTTTGGCAAATTATGTTGCAATGGTATTATTATTATTATATAATGATATATGATCACAAAGTTTGGCCAAATTGTGCTTCCTACAAACAAACATGGAAAAAAAAAATAACAGAAAAATCACAAATTTCAAATCCTGCAGCCCTACTTGTTGAAAAATATCTGTGTTGAAAGTCAATGGGGTCTAATTATGTTTTGGACCCCATTTACTTTCATTGTATGGACAAATCAAAATATCTTGTTTTGTGTTCCACATTAGAAAGAAAGACAAAACTTTGGATCAACATGTAGGTAAGTAAATAACAGCAATATTCTGAGTGAACTATCCCTTTAAATAATATGACCATACTGCAGTCTTGTGAAAAACTACCTCTGTGAATCCGTTTGTAGGAAATTCTTGCTCTGGCGTCCCTGCCACAGGAGAAGCTTTTGGACTGATTTTTTCAGATTTTGGGCTGTCAGGTTGTGCTGGGATTCGGTGCAGGTAGCCATATCCAATGCCACAGCCAAGACTACAAAGGGGTAGGCAGTTATCTGAATTATTTCCTCATTATAATGGCTTTGTCAAGAATTCATTACAGTATTATATCCTCAGTAACAGGGTTATTACCTGCCTTCTCCCCCCCAGGCACCATTTGGTGTGACAACCACCTCCCTGCATTTATTGGTTTCTGTATTGTAGACCAGCAACTTCAATGGTTTTCCCTCATGGGCTTCAATTAGGGAGAAGAAATCCTCTGACTGTTGGGAAATCAAAACATTGCTTGATTGTAAAAACCTTGCATTTTCATCAAGTAAAACTAATAAATGTAGTGGTCACATTATGAAATAAATGTTTTTCTCTAATGAATGTTGGCCAAAATCAAAATTGTAATGATTCAAATATCTCTGAATTATATTCCCCTTTATAATTACAATTTTTTAGCACACCAGGGTGACTAGGAACATGAAATTATTCAGCTATGACTTCCTGTTTCACAGTAGTATAAATAGGAGCAAACACAAAGGCCAAATTCCATTAATCATCCATCCAATCAGTAAAACCAAAGAATATAGTTCTGATGTGCAGATTATAAGAAAAAAGCTAAAGCATTGAAAAATCCCATTTCAAGGGCAATAATTACAAAGTTCCAATCAACTAAAGATGTTACGAATCTGGCCGCAAGAGGACGTGTGTCTATATAGTCTCAATGCATAGTGAGGAGGAACGTTTGAGTGGCCAAAGACTCTCCAAGGATCACAGATGAAGAATTGAAGAAATTAGTTGAGTCAAACAGCACCTATATCACCATAAGTTGTTCAGGAGGGTTTCAAGAAAAATCCTCTACTCTCATCCTAAAACAAACTATATTACAAAGCATATTCAGTTGTCAGACACTACTGGAGCTTTAAATGGGAAATTAAAAGAAGAGCTTTTTGGCAAAATAAATATACTGCTGGAACTTTAATGTTGAGGGCCTATTTTTCTGCTTGAGGTCCTGGACATCTTATTCACATACATGGCGCCATGGATTCTATCAAATACCAACAGATAAAAAATTGAAACCTAGAAATCTTATAATGGGCCATGGCCATGACCTGAACCCTATTCAAATCTTAAGAGTAAAGTGTAACAACATGGACTTGGGAATTTGACGGACCTGGAGGGATTCTATATGGAGGAATGGTCTCTGATCTCTTGTCAGGTGTTCTCTAAACTCATCAGGCATTATAAAAGAATACTCAGAGCTGTTATCTTAGCAAAAGAAGGTTGCAAACAGCATTGAATAAAAGGGTGCCATTAATTGTGGTCAATGTGTATTAGAGGAAAACATTAAAGGTCAAAAGGATTAACAAAGCCAATGTATTTTCACAGGCTTCTTTGTTCATATTTACCAAGGGTGCCAATAATTCTGACCAGGACTGCATATCAGGTTTTTACAATCTACTGCATGTTTGCTAAAAACTCAAACTATATTTGGTAGGGATGCACGATATAGGATTTTGGCCGATATTCGATATGCCGATATTTTCAGACTAATTTTGCCCAATGCCAATACCGATATATTTGTGTGTGTTTTTTAAGTGCAAAAAAAGCTCATTAAAGCTTCTAATAAAGTTCTCAATCAAGAGCAGTGAGTGATTTCCTCTTTGTGTTTTGTTGTTTTATTAACATTAACGAGATAGTTCTCCCCAAAATTTAAATTGTCATCATTTACTCTCTCTGTTGAAATTATAAAAGTTATTTGGAAGAATGTGGCTAACCAAACAGTTGCTGTACTTCAGTGACTTCCATAGTATATTTAAGCACAAGAAAGAAATGAATACAGGTTTGAAACAACATTAGAGTGAGTAAATAATGACAGAATTTTTATTTCTGGGTGCAGAATCTCTTTAAGGACAAGCGGCAGCATATTATACTGTCTCTTTAAGAACTGCACGCGACACGTCTAATATACACGCATTTGACAAGCAGATTTTCTCTGTTTGCTTTCACTTTAGACATAACCAACTTTGTTTATGTAAACCTTGTGTGTATTTGACAGTATCAGCGCAATAAGACTCGAAAGATTAGTCCAGTATATGCAGGCGCTGTGACAGGCTTTTAGTTCCTGTGAGCGTCGGGTGTAACGCGCTCAGAAAAGCGGATGTTAGAACAGCGCATCAGCACGTGAATGATATGTTTACCTAGCAAGACTTTGACGCACATGCAAATAATGAACTTTTGTGAATTGCGGTGTCCCGTGACGGTGAGTGTAACTCTACCTCTGCGTTTACATGTGATGTGATGTGAATGTACGTCGCGTTGTACAGTATGTTGAGATGAAGGCGCCAGAATTGAACTGATAGAATGCACGATACTATGATTTTTCTTCAAAAGCAGATCGTGGAGACATTTTAATCGTCCACGATCAAAAACCGTGAGACGCACACCCCTAGTTGGAAGTTTAAGTTGCTGGCGCTCATGCTTCGTTCGCGTCACGTGCGCATAGGAAACACGCCACCCTATCGGCAAGGCTCATCGGCAGAAATATTCATATCGGCCGATGCCGATGATGGTCATTTTAAGCTTTTATCGGCCGATACCGATGTTGTCCCGATATCATCGTGCATCCCTAATATTTGGTTTAACTTTAGGTTCAAAAATTTCAAAAGTGTTAACTATGTAAAAAGGGTTTCCCACAAGATTTAAACCAGCAGAATCTAATAAAATATGCTTCAGGGATAAAGGGTTTTGACAGAAAAAACACGTTGGTGGATCTTCTCTTAATGTTAAAAACTTGTGTGTCATCCTGGAATGGCCTATTCCACAACAGGTATAAACAATCTGGTCCCATCGGTTTAAAAATTGATAGCAACTTCTGCCAACAATCAGGCTGATTTCATTAAGTTTGTTCATAGTATATAGATCCCAATAACTAGCACGCATAGAACTTGCAAGCATTCATGATAATAATTCACGTCTTACATCTTGCAGAACCTGGTCAGCTCCAACAATGAAGTCTGAATGCTCCTGGAGTCCAGCCAGTGCTGCTGGTGAATTTGGTTCCACATCCTAAAACCAGAGGGTGCAAAATACTTAAACAAAAAGACAAATTATTTAGAGAAATGCATGGATACCTATTAAACGCAAAGATAACTTACCAGAACATGCCAAACATTTTCATTGGCTCCTTGAAAGCTACAGAAGCGGACACTGGCTCCCAGAAGTCCTTGACCACCCCACATGTTGCTGGGAACCACCTCCAATTCCCGGATCCTCATGGTCTTTGTACTATACACTTCCATCTTTACTGGTTTCTCCACATTAGCCTTGAGGAGGTCCTTGAGCAAATCATTCTCCTGATTCTGTTCAGACAGCATATGACCCATTATAATCCAAGTAACAGTGACTACATTTACAGTACATGAAAATAGTTTCTGATTAACAACCATTTTCTGGTTAAGTCTTTGTTCCAACTAAGACATGCACTTTTATTTTCTCTTGAGGATATACTGGAGATGAAGTGTATATTGTAAATAAGATGTTTACATGATTCAAAAACATGATATGCCATAGCTGTCTTATACAGTCTTAGTCTGTATTGTCCCCATGTGGAAATTTTGTTTCAGTGTTTTTTTTTATACACATGGCATTCACACACACACAATCAATTTACACAAACATAAAATCACATCCATCACCTAATACAATCCACTTGACTCGTCAACAACACTGAGACCTGCTCAGTTTACATCCAAAAGAGATTTCTAGAATATTGGCTTCTTGTTATGTCAATCAGTTTTAACTCATTTATATGATGCATGCACAATAACAATACGAACAACATATTCCAATATTCCAGAACATTCTTGTGCATTTGAATGATTGTCATGTCACTGACTACTGAAAACCTTGAGAATCATTTGTTAGTTATTATTACTTATAAGACATTTCGAACTGCTTACAAGAAAAATGCATAATCAAAATATGAAAATATTACAATATTAATTTGAAATTCTTGTGCACGTAAACCTAATCAAATGCACCGATTACTCAATTATGGGATCATTTGTCGGATAATACTTGTGTGACAATGTCTTAAATCTGTGACACATTTTTTCCCCTATATGACAATAAATAACCAATTGAGTTTTACAAATACAAACTTACAAGACGATTATTGCCAATGGATATGATGAAATCAAAAAAGGGCTCCAAACCAGCTTTCGCTGCCGGTGAGTCCTGTTGAATCTGTAAAAGAATTGGAGTAAATCACTGCAGAGCACAAATTCTATTCAGATCTTGTCTATAGTCTTTGAATTTCAAATGCATTCATTGACGTTGCACGCATTATTGTGCACTGGAAAGTTTAATAACATCCACCGAATAGTATGCAATCTGAAGTAATGAATATTTTTGAAAATATATGACGTGTTTATATATATATTACGTAATGCCCCTCTCCCCCTGCAGGTTCAATGACGTGGCGGCTACGCTTAAATATTCGTAAATCCAAAAGCTCTTGGATCACTGACCACGAAACTGGAACTAAAACACATACAAACTAATCAAACACGTGTACAGACTGAAGATGTAACGTGTGACCATAATGCAAGATATCGCAAATGTTATACAATAAGGTGTTTTCGGAGCTGTCATAGCACAACCTGCCGTTACCTGACAGTTGCCACTTTGCAAGCACTTTTCAAACCTTGAAAGGGCTTTCCTAGTTGTTAATACCGTGTATCTGACACAGTTGTTTATTTATCAAATAATTAAAAATATATATGAATGCGCACACTCTGTTTTCTCTCAATGCATATCTGTCAAAGGCTAAAGCAATGCGGACATGATAACTTCATCAAAGCATAGCTAGCACGCAAAGCTGCTCGCTGTCGTACGCAAGTCAGCTAACTGGTAAATTTAAGCAATTTACCCCATGGACGTGAAATCCTTCTGTTCCCCCCTCAGGTGCACCACTGCTCTGCGTTAAACCCATTGCTCTAGAGGGTTTCGATGTTTTGCAATGTTATGTTTAGCTCTCTGAACAAACGACCCAGACAGAGATTACTCATCGCATCGTGGCCATGTTGTCCATCTAGGCAGGAGAGAGCAATCGAACATGATGCCAACGATCAAAGGATTTTTCTAGCTCGGAACCTTTACAGTCTGTGCTCGGATCTCACGTTCTCTATTTTTAATACTTGCCCAGCTAAAACGTTCTCAAAACTTAAGCTAACCTCAATCCTCAACAGTATTCTCTGAATGTGATCTCATTTGGAAACTTATCAGTCTCAGCCTTTATTTCTAAATCAGACATGGTATACTTTACAGTCAGTTCTGTTTTTACCCGGGACGCGATATTTTTTTTCACAGGATGGTAGGGGAAGACTCATGAATATTCATTAGGGAACTCATCCCTGATTGGTCTGATGACCTACCCCTAACCCCGCCCCTAAACCTACCCGTCACTGGGGGTCTGATGACTTACCCCTAAACCAGAGCCATATAGAGTGAGAGTTGCGACAACTCCATTGACTCCAATGGAACGTTTTTTTACAGCAATGGCGGTTCGCGGAGCCTCTCAATAGTTCCCGGAAGTAGCAGCAGCGCGGTAGAGTTACAGCAGAACAGACCGTTTGTGATGCACTTTTAAAAGGTAAGACGTTTAAAGAATAAGATTGTATATTATCAGTACATCTGAATCAAATTAACTTGTAACTTTAACTGTATTAAAGCATGCTAGTTGATTATTGCTCTCTAAATTAGTAGTTTTAGGGGACGTTATCAGGTAAAATAAAGGTCATTGGATGAAGTTAGTACCGCATAACAAACCACGAACAGCATATTAATGTTTAAACCCGTTCTATTTATGCATGTTTATCCTTTGTTGTATAATAAGAGGGAAATACTTCTAAACAGAGGTTAAATATAGCATTGGGGAGTGTGATAGTTGTAATTGATTAAATGAGAATATCGGTTTCATTCCATATTAAATGTGCAATAACGGGGAAAAATCCTTATTTTAGATTTCATATTTGAGTAAGGAAAAACGTACGGTTGGCGTTTTTTATTCATTGTGTTTCCGTTGACTATTACCTGTCTATATTATGATTTAGCTCAGCTGATTTGTATTGATGGGAAAGGGAGATGGAAGTTTATAAGTAAGATTAAAAAACATGCTTAAAACGGCAGCAAGCCGTGTTTTAAATCAAATCACACTAGGCTAAATGGGGTATTATAAATACCATAACTGTATTATATACTAACTCCTATATATAATTTATCCCGTTTTTGTTTCCTTTATCTCTTTCAACACAAGAAGCACAAAGAGGATTCGGTGGATCCTGAAGATTCCTGCACTGACGCTGTACCTCATCAATCTCAGCTCCTTGGATTTTGCAAGACTTTACTTGCTCCCTATTTTTAATAAACATTAAACTTCCCAGTGTTGGTCTTTGTGGAAAAAGTGCAGATACACCTCAGTATGATTAGCACAAAAAATGTTTAGTTCTATTAGATTGCTCCTGACTTGACCATATTTTCTGTGTCTGACAACATAGAGGAAAGGCCAGACAACATGCTTGACGTGCAGTTTATTAGACATTTATAAATCCCATTGTGCTAATTCAGTGCAAAAGTGTATATATGTCATTGACAAATAAACAAATTACATCAGTTTTGAAAAGATTTAAAAAAACACATTTCTTTGTTTATTTGTCAATGACCTATATATAGGTCATTGACAAATAAACAAAGAAATGTTTTTTTAAATCTTTTCAAAACTGATGTAATGTATATTTTTGTGTCATGAACAATGTATTTGAACAAGTTTCAGTTGTGAACATTTCTAAGTGTTTAAATTCACCTGAAAGTGTACCAACCTACCCATAACTTTAAAGCAATTACCAGTATTTGATAGAGATCTACAAGGATCATTATGGCTCCTCTGGACAATGCATATCATGCACACTGCAATTACCATAATAAGAGAGCCATGTTTGCACTTGTGCCCCCCTGACATACAAATTGTTAGACAAAAGGTTTTCAATTATCAGCTATAAATCTACTGAAATGTATCAAATTTGTTTATATGAAAGGTTAAAATGATGCCATAGAATTTCATTTTTATTTTTTTTATGATTAAAACACCATTTAAATTAGTATTTTAGTCTGTTCATTTGTGCGGACAGTTACACAACCTGACATTTTGGGGGGTTTAAGATAACAAAACATAAAATATGTATTATCTAAATGTACTAAAAATGAATTTAAACTAAATAGGTTTTATAGATTAAAGTGATGTATGTCATGAATTTATCAAATTATGTTAAGGAAATAATGTACTTGGACACTTAGAAAATAATGTGTGTGTGTGTATAATCATGTTTTGTTTTAAAATGAAATATATTATGTATTCATTTATATAGTAATAAGTGCATAAGCATTGTAAACATTACGATGAATGCAATTTTACATTTTACTTATTTGCAATGGCTTTTTAAGACAATCACCTGTTTCCTGCAAGTCTCCTGTCCTTGTGAAACCATAGTGAACATTACATGATAACCCTTAAATAACATACAAGTTTAAGAACACAAAAATACTTCAAAACAAATGCAAAACGGTCTTTAACCAAGGTAAAGTTAGCCAGAAAATATGTTAACAAAGGCAGGCAACACTGGTTGACCACAATAAACATTAAATATCAGCAGATTTTTTATGTTTTAAAAACAATATTGCTGTAACTACATACACATACTACATCCAAATGTCAATGTATAATATACATATTGTAAACCAACGCATTTATTGACTACAAACTACCAAAAATCACAGTTCAGCTCTCTACCTCCATCGATTTGAATTGGCGCCGAAGCACTTCCTGGAACTATCTGAGGTCTACGCGAATCACGTGACAACCAAGCATTTAGAACTTCCGTTGTCGCAACTCTCTCTCTATATGGCTCTGCCCTAAACCTACCCGTCACTGGGGTTAAGACCAATCAGGGATGAGTTCCCTAATGAATATTCATGAGTCTTCGCCTACCATCCTGTGAAAAAAAATATCGCACCCGGGACATATCGAATAGTGTGCCGTGACTCTGCGTTAAACTTATTCAATTTAAATATAATATAGTTTTTTTTGTGAGTCGTTGATTAATTTTACTTAACTGCTTAATCTTAGCCTGTCTGTTTGACAGTTCAGCTTTGTTCTTGCTGTATTTTATTGATTATTTTGTCTTTCATTTCTTTTTAGACATCTTGGGGACACATCTTTTGTTTACTGATGCCCTCTTGTGGGGAGAGAACAACAGTAGAAAGCCTAAATGCCAAATTTGTAACGAGTATTTGTGTGAAACCTAGCCTGGGAAAACCCAGACAACTTCTGGCAAATTCAGTTCTCTTACGAGAGGTTCTCTCGTACTGCGTAATATCTTACGCTAGGGGAAAACCTCTTTTCCACGAGATATTGAAGCCAAAAATTATCCTTAATTTTGAATTAATGTAAAACGCGTTGTGGCAGCATGCAGACATAGGCAAGGCGGCTCGCGTGCATATTGGCTGTCCTGCGGCAACTGCAGCAGCCTATCGAGAGAGGCCCTTGGTGACGTCAGATCCAATGGGGGCGCTTCGCGCGCACTACGTCACCTCCCGCCAAGCGGCCGTGGCCTGGCCTATAAATATAGCTCGAATCTGATTTTTCATCTCTTCAGCGAAGCTCACGCATCGCTGGATCCGGAGTGGAGAAGCCGCGCTGTCTGAGAACAAGCTTTCTGCGGGACGAGCCTTTGCATCTGAAGCCGCTGGCCTTCATCTCGCCGCCTTCAGTCGCCGTACCTGCTACGCTTTCCGGCGTTTATATCCTTTTACTCTGCCGAGTGTGTGTTCGCCGCTGCGACTCAAAAAGCGCTGTACTCAGCGGGTCCCCGAGCCTTCTCCAGCCTGTGAAAGCTCACCGATTCGCCCGCGAGCTTCAACAGCTTCACTCGAGTTGCGGCCAGAAACAACAGTGTTTAAGTCTCGCCGTGGCCAGACTTCCACCGAAACTTTTCACTCGTTCAGTTCCAGAAAATGCGACTGTTCCAGTGTATTTTGCAGTAAACAAGCCGGTACCACGGCCCGCTTGCCTGCACACAAATGCCGTTTCCACGGCGACCCAGATAAATCACATAAACAGTGTAATTTCTGGTATTCCGGCCACAGCCGATGGTGTTATGAGAGTAATAAAATAATAAAAATGCCCACAGCCCAGTGTTCATTTCTACACACAAACACAGCCCGCCACAGTACAGGGCGACCCAGATAAATCACATAAACAGTGTAATTTCTGGTATTCCGGCCACAGCCGATGGTGTTGAGTGTAATAAAAATGTCCACAGCCCAGTGTTCATTTCTACACACAAACACAGCCCGCCACAGTACAGCGCTCGCACAAATAAAATCGACTCATGTAAATTGTGCATTAAATGTAGTGAATGTGCCCACAACCCAATGCCCACAAACACTACACACTGCATGTCCCACGGTTTCCGTAAAAACAAAACCAACACACATACAGTCAGCTCAGGCCGACGGTGTTTCAGTGCAGTAAATGTGCCCGCTGTCCCGCGCCCACATTCACTCACAGACATGTTAAGCCCCACGGGGCTCGCCCCGCTCGCTCTCTCAGCAAACTGCTATAAGGGAATCGAGCGCGGCCAGGCTGCCCGCCGCGATCGGCGCGCCCTCCGCCTCAAACGCTGCAGGCACAGTGTTTACGTTACAGCACACCAAAGCTCTCCTGTCGCCACTATGTTGCGGCCAGAGCCCAGATCTCATTCTACCCCTAGCTATTCATGCAAATGCATGGGCAAAGCTTCCCGGGTATCAGAATGGTTGCTGAACATTATAAAAAGAGGCTATTCGATGCAGTTCACTCGACGTCCCTGCCGCTACACGGCGCGGGTCGAAACTACGGTAAAAACTGAAGTAGCCCATCTACTTCAAGTCGAAATAGCGAAACTATTGAGCAAAGGGGCAATAGAGCCTTTATCTCAAGCTCAGAGCAAAGGGGGCCTATACAGCAGATATTTTCTGGTACCGAAAAAAGACGGGTCTCAGACCCATTCTGT